CAGAGTCCCAACCTAAATTGTAAAGCAGAAGAGTGGATTTGGAACTGAGACAATACGTAATAAGAGAGTCATCTTACCCAGTTTTAGAAGGCTCTGCATGGTCTGCCTCTTTATAAGTTTCTTTGCTACAGCCACATGGCTTCTGCCAAGCCTTTTAAGAGACCATGCTTCCTCCTGCTACAAAGCCTTTAGCATATTCTATTCTTTGACTGTGATGTTCTTTACTTTTTGTTTATTTAATTTTACAGAATTGGTCTGGTGTTTTTTTGTTTAATATATATTTTTATTGATTTCAGAGAGGAAGGGAGAGGGAAAGAGAGAAATATCAATGATGAGAGAGAATTATTGATTGGCTGCCTCCTGCACACCTCCCACTGGGATCAAACCCAAAATCCAGGCATGTGTCCTTGACCTGAATCGCTCTATCCACTGAGACAAACCAGCTGGGGCTGTTCGTCACTTCTTTTTATATATATTTTATATAATTTTATATACATATTTTATGATATTTTACAGAGAGGAAGAGAGAGGGATAGAGAGTTAGAAACATCGTTGAGAGACAATCATCAATTAGCTGCCTCTTGCACACCCCCTACTGGGTATGTGCCACCCAACCAAGGTACATGCCCTTGACCGGAATCGAACCCGGGACATTTCAGTCTGCAGACTGACGCTCTATCCACTGAACCAAACCGGTTTCGGCATTGTCACTTTTTTTTTTCTTTTCTGTTCTTCACTTTTTAAATGCTATACCTCATGCCAAATCTCCCTGTTATATGCTTTCATAACACAATTAACCTCTCTTATACCACTTGTCACAGTTGTACAACTTCATTTATTGATATGGCCTTTTTCCCCCTAAAATATATTTTTATTTTTTTATTTTTAAAACATATATTTTTATTGATTTCAGAGAGGAAAGAAGAGGGAGAGAGAAAGAAACATCAATGTTGAGAGAGAATAATTGATCGTGCCTTCTGCACGTTCCTACTGGGAACGGAGTCTGCAACTTGGGTGTGTGCCCTGACTGAGAATCAAACTATGACTTTTTGGTTCATAGGTCCACACTCAACCCTAGAGCCAGGCCAGCTGGGCTGTATTTTATCATTTTTGAAGATATTATGAGTTGGATTGTTTTTCTAGTTTGTATGGTCTTTTGATTAATACTTGCCTAAACTCGAGGAGGCCTGTTTTTTTTTTTTTTTTTAAATATATTTTTATTCATTTCAGAGAGTAAGGGAGAATTGAACCTGGGACCCTTCAGTCCGCAGCCTAATGCTCTATCCACTGAGCAAGGCTGGTTAGGTCCAGGAAGGCTGCTTTTATATACTATTATTTGCTTTCCCAGTGCCTAGTTTAATGGCTGCCATATAGTATAAATTCAATTTGTATTTGTTTAAAGAATTATTTCAGCCCTAGCTGGTTTGGCTCAGTGGATAGTGTCGGCCTGCCGAATGAAGGGTACTGGGTTCGATTCTGGGCAAGGGTATGTGCCTTAGTTGCAAGCACATCCCCAGTAGCGGGTGTGCAGGAGGCAGCTGATCGATGTTTCTCTCTCATTGATGTTTCTAACTCTCTATCCGTCTCCCTTCCTCTCTGTAAAAAATCAATAAAATATTGTACAACCATCACCACTCTCTTTATTCCAGTACATTTTCATCACCCCAAAAGAAAACCTCATACCCATTAAGTAGCTAACTCCCCCTAACCCCTTGGCAACTGCTAGTCTGCTTTCTGTCTCTTTGAGAATACTTAATTAGAATGTTTCATATAAATAGAATTATATGGTATGTAACCTTTTGTGTGTGGTTTGTTTCACTTAGCATGTTTTCCAAGTTCATCTACTTTGTAGCATATATCAGTACTTCATTCCTTTTTATGGGCGAGTAATATTCCATTGCATGGATATACCACATCAGTTTACTCATTCAGAAATTAATGGATATTTAGGCGTGTTCTAAATATTTTGGGGTCTCTTGAATAGTGGTGAACATTCATGTATAAGTATTGGTTTGATCCATGTTTTCAATTCTTTTGTCTACACCTAGAAATGCAATTGCTAGGTCATACAGTAATTCTATATTTAACTTTATTTTTATTTATTTATTTTTAAATTTAACTTTGTATGTATTTTTTAAATATATTTTATTGATTTTTTACAGAGAGGAGGAGAGAGGTTAGAGAGCTAGAAATGTCGATGAGAGAGAAACATCGACCAGCTGCCTCTTGCACACCCCCTACCGGGGATGTGCCCGCAACTAATGTACATGCCCTTGACCGGAATTGAATCTGGACTTTTCAGTCCACAGACCGATGCTCTACCACTGAGCCAAACCAGTTTCGGCTATATTAAACTTTAAAAAATATTTTTATTGATTTCAGAGAGGAAGGGAGGGAAGAGAGAGATAGAAACAGCAATGATGAGAGAGAATTATTGATTGGCTGCCTCCTGCATGCCCACATTGGGGATTGAGCCTGCAACTCCAAGCATGTGACCTGACCAGGAATTGAAAGCAGGGGGCAGCTGGTTGATGTTTCTCTCTCATCGACGTTTCTAGCTCTCTATCTCTTGATTTTTTAGAGAGAGGAAGAGAGAGAGGAATAGAGAATTAGAAACATTGATGAGAGAGAATTATGAGAGAGAATTACCAATCAGCTGCCTCTTGCACACCCCCTACCGGGGATGTGTCTGCAACCAAGGTACATGGCCTTGACTGGAATCGAACCTGGGATCTTTCAGTCCGAAGTCCGACGCTCTACCACTGAGTCAAACCGGCCTCGGCGCAAGCTAACTGTTTTGAGAATTAAATATTTGCCAGACATATTACAGACATTATCTCATTTAATCCTCACTACATTACCAGGCATTCATTCATTCATTCCTTTATTGAGTGTTCACCTGGCAGGGCACAAGGTTGAACGCTGAGAGTTCAGCATTATTGGCCGTCTCTTAGCTCCTAATTGTGTTACCCTCTACCTCATAGAGAAAATGGAGGATAGGTTCTCAGGTAAATTTATTTGTTCAAGGTCACACAGTATTGGAGCAGCTACAAAACCAAGGTATCTCATTTCAAATCTTTGTTCTCAATTATTAAGCAGCTAGTAGACTTATATAAGATTTTTTATTGTATGTTATCTTCCACATTTTTTTTCAAACATTCTCCTCTCTCCGTTCCCTTGTTTTTCCCAGTATTGGCCAAAGAACAAATGGTGAGTTATAATCCTAACTGCCAGGCATGTGGGAGACTTCAGGGGTGAGGAGCCAAGACCCAGGAGCATGGGGGAGACATTTTGGAAGAAACAATAACACATATACAAGGCAGATCCTCTGCCATGGAAACAGATTGTTGTTGTTGTTTTTTTGTTTTTTTGTTTTGTTTTGTTTCATCTCTGCCTTTCTCTACTGCTTCCAAGACGGTTTTGAAGCTGGAGAGCTGAAACAGAGAGCCTAGTCTGCCGGCTCCAAAAGTCCGGAACATTTCATTTTATTCTACAGCCTTTCACTCTGTACCCCGGTGCGGTCTCTTCCTGCATTCTGTTACGTGGCTTTCACTTCTTCACCCTTGGTGGATAACCTACATGATGATTTCAGTTTTACACTACCGCCAAATGGACCAAGCTGCCTGATGGCGGGCGACCTTGACAGACATCTGGGTGGGAGGTCCGGGGGAGGGTGGGGCGGTTGGCTCTGGGGATAAAACCTTCAGATGCTGTGAGGAGGCGCCACGAGGAAGTGGCGACAATGGAGTTCCACTCAGCGTTGAGTTTTCTAAAAGATTGACAGTAATCGTACCAACTGCCTTTGCTCTAGCAACTTGCGCGGTCCCGCGAGATACAGACGCTAAGCCAGAGGGCGGAGTCAGCGGCGCCTCTCCGAATGGGGGATGGGACTATCTATGGCGCAATCATTGCGCGAGATTGAGCCGTGGTCGCCAGGGCCGTTCTTAGATCTCGCGATATTTCGGTCTATTCAGTCTGGAAGTAGTGCGGCTTCTCGCGAGAGCCCGTGCCGAGGGCTCTTGGAGGCCCCGTGTGTTTGTGTGTATATGCGTGTTAGTGAATGTGAGTACGGGGAAGCAGCGGCCGCCATTTCAGAGAGTCTGCGGACGCCGTCGCAGGGTTGAATCCTGAGCTGCCGAAGTCTCCGTCCTACACTCCCGCGCGGGCTTCTCTAATCCCATTGTTTCTTTTAGATTCGCTCGGGCCTATCCGCCCTCGGAGCCCGAAATTCGGGCTGGGCGTACCGCGGCCCGGGCCTAGAGACTTAACTGTAGCCACAGCGGCGGCGGCAGCTGCAGCAGCCTTTTTTCCGAATACGAGCACCACAGGGGCCCAGAAGCCCGCGCAGGTAAGGCAATATGGTTGAGCAGAGTATTGTCAGAGACTTTTTTTGAAGTATGGTTTTTTTTTTTCCTGGGTTGAGGACACTCCTTTTAGGTGATTTTTAGCGACGCGGGGGGGGGGGGGGGAGCCGCGCGCGCGCAGGTTTTCGAGAAATGGGCCCCATCTTGACGACCGCGCCCTTCTTTTCCGGGCGGGCATGTCTCAGGGTGTTGGGGCGGCACGAACCCCAGAGAGGTCTCGGGCAGGTGGTGGTTACAGTCCCTTGGAGGCCGGGGCCGGCCCCGACCTCCCAACATGGCGCCAGCCGAACGCAATCCATGGCTCCCAACCCCTCCCAACCGAGGCAGTTCCCCCTGCTTCTAAAATGGCAGCGCGGGTTTTGCGCGGAAAGAGGCCTTCTCGCTTGAGATGCCCGGGTTCTGCTTTTGGAGCTCATTGCAGACTCTTTAAAGTGGAACATTTACTCGGTTTTCATGTGTTGTGTGTTAGAGGCATTTTAGATTTAATTGCCAAGCCTGGCAAAGTACTTGAATCATGCCTGGGCTTTTGAAAAGGTGGTTCTGAAGCTTTTGTAATATTGGAGTAAGAAATTGAGCAGAATCGAAGGATATTTATTCATAGAATTACCTTATTGTTTTCATAGGCGTTTAGAGAAAATGGCAGACGATATTGATATTGAAGCAATGCTTGAGGCTCCTTACAAGAAGGTGAGAAAAAACATGTTGGTGAGGTTTATATATTTCTTAATTTAGCATTATTCACGAAACTACTGCTGAAATGTAAACTAACCTCCCCGGAGCCCTCTTGATTTATCTTATCAGAGATGCATTACTTATAACTTACAAAAGTAAATATATGCTATTGATGTAATAATATTGTGCAGTAGTTTCACTTCAGCGTGATGAATAAATGCCCATCTATCTCTCTTTGTAGACTTGCCTAACGATATCTCACCTCTACTCCCATGAATTCACCTTTGATTCCAGTGTGAACTGTCAATCATAAGGTAGTAATTGAGTGACTTATCGCTGTACCGTGGTCCCCTAGGTAAAATGACTCAACTAAGAATTACCAGCTCCAGTTTGGTATAGCAAAAAGGTGAATGTAGTGGTTTGGGAAAATAGCAGGGGTCCAAGAATCACAAAGTATAACCAGTCTGTGGCAAGCAAATCTTGATAAGTCTTACAAGAAGAAATGGGTGAGATTTAAATTTTTTTCTCTATATACATGTAAAAAGACTGGTGATATTAAAATTAAGACAGGCAACTGATGATCTGTTGCTCAATTAAATTTATTAAAATTCTTGGATCCCTGAATAGAAGAAAAAAAAAATAAAGCAAAAGAGGCAGTATCACAACCTAGAGTCACTTGATGACTTTTTTACTGTTCTCCATATTGTTTTTTTATTTTTAATTAGTCCCTGACATATTTCACACTAAAAACTACAAAGGAAGTATTTTGGCTAATAATAATAGTCTTTGACCCATTTCAGTATCACAGTAAAAATAAAGTGTCTTTTCATTCTTTCACCAGTTGGTGGTGAAAATAGCAGTGTGCATGCATTATCACTGGTGTCACAAACTGTAAGCTTTGTAAGTTAGCAGTTATACTCCATTAACTCGTGTAATCAAACTTTAAAATAAACATTGCGCTAAACCTTTTAAAATACATTTGTTTTGGAGTGTGTAGCACGACCAAGTGGTACCAATTTGGATGAATTCTTTATAGCTTTAAATAGTGTACATAGTTTGTAATGCTTAAGACTCTTGAAGAGTTTTATATTTTAATGTTAAGATTCTTGTGTCTTAGTTTAACATGGATGAAATTCCATGTAAACAGGTATGGAAGTAGGAAATGTTTAGGTTGGACTGGTGGATTATTAATTGACTTTCTTGGGTTCTTGAGAGTCAACATTACTAAAGCAGTGTGAATCCCTGTTTGCTTCAGGGCGAGATGTGTGACAGAGGTGGCATCAAGCTCTTACAGTCCCAACCCTCCAACGGAAATGGGCGAAGATCTCAGGAATGGCATCGGTCACAGGAAATCGATAGTGGCTGGCTGCTAGCATGGCCACTTGGGGCTTAGGCAGAAATAGAGCCATGGTACTGACGAAAGGGACCATAGAACATGGAATAAAACTCAAACAGGACTTCATTCGTGTCTTAAAGAAATTCTGTTTAACTACTTCAACTCTGTAAATCTGGATAACTTAATATCTATATAAGAAAGTAAAATGTAACATGTTAATATGTGTTTTTTTTATTTATGTGTCTTGATGATTTAATTGTAAGCAACAGTGGTTAAACACATACCCATCTAAATTTTTTTATAGCCTTCCATGTTAAAATATGAATAAGTAATTAGTTTTAAAATTGTTTTGTATTTTCTTATTCCTATTCCCTTTACCCTTTGACAACTTGAAATGTTACCACTTCGTCCTCATGATGTTCTTCTATCAACCCTGCTTAGGATGAGAACAAGTTGAGCAGTGCTAATGGCCATGAAGAACGTAGCAAAAAGTAAGTTTTAAGAAGGGACCTGGGGTGGGGGAACTTGATGTATTTGCGATCTTATTAAAGTTTTGTTCCTCTGGATGAAGCATCAAACTAAGATTCTCTTCAGAAGCTTTTCTTTCCTCTTTTAGAAAAGTGGTTCTTTATCTTTTGGGATGAGAAACTATTTGAGGATATAAAAGTGTCTTTCCTTAGGTTTTAGGATATGGTTTCAGGGACATTTTGGACACCTCCTCCAAGTACATCCATGACAGTTTGGATGAGAGTTTTATCTTTTGTCTTAATGTTTATTGATGTTACAAATTATACTAAAATATCCACTGAAGATGGATTAAGAAGAAGAAAAAGGAATAAGTAATTAGGCCAGGGAAAGGATTGTTCGGTATAAATTATTGAAGGATTCAGAGCTATGAATTATTTAAGATCCTTGCTGATAAAAGGCCCTTTTTGTCCTAATGCTGTAGCATACTTAAGTACTTACGTTCTTCTTACATAGCTTTTGTTGTCTTAAACTTTCTAAATTCAATTGGAATTTATTAGTAAGAATGGGGAGTTCTTAAAAATCGAGGGATACAATTTATTTGAATTAATGAGTAACTCATTACTCAGTGCTACATAATAAACAGTAGACAGAATTCTAAGTAACAGCATAAATTAAATCTTACTTTATAAGGTTGGATACTATTCTTGGAGTTTCCTTTTCGTTCTAAGATTAGTGATGTTACAAGAATTAAATTGTAAAAAAAAGAATTGTTTGTTAACCTATATTTGTAATGTATTAAACTATTTTATCATGTTCCTGAGCTCTTAATACATAATGAAAAATGATGGTAAATACTCACTCCTAGGTTATTTCTTTGCTCTTTTCCCCTAAAAATTGAAAATGTTTTTTATAATACACTACTTCAACATTTTCACAGCAACTTCGTTAGGTGTAGGTTGATATAATTTCATAAAAAGATTCTTAAAAATGGTCAGATGGGATTATTCAGGCTTTGTTACCCACATTTTTAAAAAAGTATAATCATCTCAAGATAATGTAGTAGTAATGGTTTAAAAGTAATGTAAAATGTAGTGAATGTCCTACATTTTTTTCTTGGGGGAGTCTTAGTTCTTTACTAACCTATAGATATTAGGTTGGGTTTAGTCTTGAATTGTTATATGTGAGGCAATCAACCAATCATGCCGGGTTTAATGTCATCTGGTTTTAGATCTTTAAACAGAGTAACTATTTACTAATTAATGGTTCTATAATCCAAGAAAATTTAGAAAAGGTGTGATATTCATATATAATGACTGAAATGATCCATTCTAGGTATCAGGCCTGGTGGGTGAGTAAAACTCACAGTTAAGTATGGAAAGAATGAGGACATACACGGTGGGGCACAGACCTTTGTTTGTACCATTCTCAGATATCACTCCTTGCTGCTTATACCATCTCTAGTTTTACTTGTTTTCATCCTGCATTTAAGCTCATTAAGGCCACCAAGCTTTTACAAGGATTCAGTGACTGATGCTTAGTGGCCTTTTATCTAACGTAAAAAGTCTTATGAGACTAAATAGAATGGACAGTTTTCTGTAATTGACTATAGGGATTTCCCTTTATAAGGGCAAAACTTTCCAAACTACTATCTGATACCTTTTGAAGTGTACAAATTATTTCTCTATCAGTCTTCTCAGCCTCAATTATGTATAGCTGATTAAATAAATGGCGCTCTTATTCAGTCAGGAATTTTCACCACTTTTTGAATGGAATTATCTTTTCAAATTAATTTCAAAGTTACCTAGAAGAAACTGTTGTTTAGTGATGGATATAATATAAAACAAGTAAATGTTTTGTGATTAATTTTTAGTGTTAAGTCAACCAAAGGAAGGTGCTACCTTGTATTTTTCATCCTAAAACTTCATTGTCTTAAAAGTAATTGAGTGTTGGAATAGTTTTTAAAAATATATATTTTATTGATTTCAGAGAGGAATGGAGAGGCAGAAACATCAATGGTGAGAATCATGAGCTGCCTCTAGCACACCCCCTACTGGGGATTGAGCCCCCAACCCAGACTTGTGCTCTGGACTGGAATCAACCCTGAACGCTTTAGTCCACAGTTAGACACTCTATCCACTGAGCCAAACCAGTTAGGGCAGGGTAGTTTTAAGGTAGCAGGAAAATAGACAGCTGAGAATTGAAAGACTAGTATAGTAAATGTTTTCTTTTAAAAAAATAATAATTCTTTAAAAAGCCATGGAAAAAATTGATTCTCAATGCATATACTCATTTGTATTCTAATAGTATAAGGAACTAAGTTTAATATAACACAAATTGGTTCTAAGTTGACCTACTTTGAAAAGAGCTATATACCCCTGACTTTGGCAAGACATCAGGTACTGGAGCTTGCCTTCATGGGAATGTTAATTCTTAGTGTAATCAGTTTTGCAGTCTAGATCAGCATTCATTCAGTTAAGCTCTTTAGGAATTAGTGGGGGAAAGAAGGGGGGATAACAATAAAATGACACAGTTGAAATATTTTGGCTACTGTGGTGTGGATTATCTAAATTTTGGAATAAATGACTTTTCTATTTTTTTCTTATTTTCCAGAGTACTTTGCATTTAAAATTTAGATCTTCTTACATGGAAGAGGTCAAATCCAGTTATAGCAAAACACCTTTACAGCAGAGGCCATATAACCAAAAAGTCCAAAGGCCCAGCCCAGTGGACCATTTACTTCAATGATGTTCAGTACAAAATTCCACTGCCACTAAAGACTTTGGAAAGTCCCATTAAGTTGTAACAGGATTTGACTATTAGTATGGATTTTTATAACCCTTCTTTAGTTAACTTAATATTCTGCAATTTGTTATAGAGAAGTATACTGCTTTCTTACACCCTTAAATATTTGTCTGGGCTTTTATGCAGAGAAATGTATATCTTGAATGTTTTAATCAGGTTGCTGTCTTTTTACCTGTCTGGGGTTGCCTTCAGATGTGGTTGGGGACTCATTAAAAGTCCTAGGAAGACCTTAAGTTGAAATTAGCTCTCCAATATTTGAGTGTTTCCTTTGATAAAAATAAGTTTTGAGTTTAAAAAGGTAAATATGTTTGCTGCCTCTACTATGGGCTATATATGAGCAGAGCAAAACTTTTATTTGTGGAAGATTGAGTTACTTTTTACTTTGTCCTCTAATTGATTATTTTTAGGACTTATATAGCTATTGCACAAACTTATTAAAAGATAGTGTCAGGTTTTTCAGGCAACAAAGTTGGAATGTTATCTGTTGCCCTTCTGGGCATTGCTTTGATGACTTCTATATAAATAATGAGTGTAGCCTAATTTTCTGTCATGTGCTACCTAGCATATACATTTCTGACAGTCAGGTGGATTATCTTGAAATTTTAGACAAAAGTTTCTGCCTCCTTGGAAAGCTCTACATCTCCTTGTGATTGGAGTGTGGGTTTCAAGATTCCAGAAGGTGGGTGTCTTCATTTTCTATTTTCAATGCACTCTAAGATGACCTGCTTACAGGTTCTCTCTGAGGCAGACTTCAATGCTCTTGTGCTAATTTGCTTTGATAAGGACTAAATTTCCAAATGATGTAGATTTGTCAAAATGTTCCATCTTTTAGCCACTAGAAATTGACCTTTTAGTGGAATAAGTTTATTTTGAAATGTCTTTCAATTTATACTGAAATATCTGAAGGCACCTCTAAAATTTGGGTGATGGCACACTGTAGAATACAGAAATCAACAGAAGGATATGACTGACTGGCTTTTTACCTTTCAGAGTTTATAATTTTTTAAGGAGATATATATGGAGAGATGTTCATTGTTTTTGTTGCACCCCTCAGGCTTGTATAAACTGGCATAAAAATGGCATATTCCATATACTGGTATACTCACAACTTTCAAAAGAAAGTATCTGAAATGGTTACAATAAAGTCTAGGAGTGTCAGAATACATTTTACTGCAATAGTTTGTCCTTTGTCATTCCTATAATTTTGCTCATAAAAAACAAAATACTGATGTTTTGCATGGCTGTTGAAAGAAATTATAAATTGGGTCAAAAATGGCTTAAGGAAAATGAATATACTTAATGAAAAATTATATATGTGGTCCAGTATTAATACTTAACTATTAACGTATTCTATTATAACTGTATCCTGTGGATTACATTAATACATGTTGGCCAGTTACAAGATGAAGTTTTTACTTAAAAGTTCAAGTTTTGGTCTCTATCTGTTGATAAGACCTTTTTCTTGTTAGAGCTGTAGCTGACTCTCAGGAATAGTCCCTGCTCTCTCAAATGATTCTTTGTCAACTGACTGCTGAATTTCAGTAGTAGAAAGAAAAGCGTGGGTGTTTATCTTACCTAGGAATTATTTTTCCATAAGTATGATTATGTATCATTGTATGATAGTAAACAAGCAAAATTTACAAAAATATTTTAAATTCTGACCGTAAAAGGCAGTATATTTTGGCAGATTTTAAACCAACAATATAATGATGACTTTTTCCTTCTCAGGAGGAAAAAAAGCAAGAGCAGAAGTCGTAGTCATGAACGAAAAAGAAGCAAAAGTAAGGAACGGAAGCGAAGCAGAGATAGAGAAAGGAAAAAGAGCAAAAGCCGCGAAAGGAAGCGAAGTAGAAGCAAAGAAAGGAGGCGGAGCCGCTCAAGAAGTCGAGATCGCAGATTCAGAGGCCGCTACCGAAGTCCTTAGTATGTAACTATAATTATGATGGTTTGAGAGTCATTTGCTGGGTATCCAGATAGCAATTTTATCTGAGTGATTTGAACTGTGAAATTTTACTTTTCAATGTATTTCATTAAATAAGGATATTGGCATAGAAGGACTAGTAAAGTAGAAAACTGTGGACAAATACATCTGTTTTACTCTGGGCATACAGATTATTATTTTGTTATTCTATATTAAAATATTTTAAAACTGTATGCCCAGTCCAAAGTAAAGCATTAGAAAGCTTTAAAAATTTTTTTTATATGTAATGCCAAATATTTGGTATGTAAACATTAACTGAACATAAATTTATTTAAAAGTTTAAAGCTCAGATGCATGTAAGTTAAAATAGTCAAGTATGTAATTCGTTAACAGTAATCTTATCTGTGTGGCTGTTTACAGCTGAAATGATAGACCCTTTGTGAATTTAGTATATGCTCCTGGATAATGATGATTTTGGGGGCTCATCACATTGTATTTAAGGTTGGGTTTTTTGTTTTTTGTTTTTTGTTTTTAAAATGAAGCACTAAATGTGCTTTGAAGATTAAATAGCTAAGAAAAGTTGGATGTGGCTATTTAAGGTGCAAAGGTTCAATATAGTCATTATAAACACCTTAATTGTAAATACCTGGTAAGAGTCTGTCTACACATAACTTTTAAGCAAGAATTGAATCTAACAGTCATTAGTGCCTTTCCCTTAATAAAACATACCATTATAAACTGGGGTATGTTAAAATGAAAAACTATTAATTAACATTGAAGAGAATGTAAATAAAGCACCCATCATAGTGCTATTCATGAAATGTTTTGGTGTTTGAAGCCATTAAAGTTAGTATCACTTTGAGTTCTGATTCTGGTTCTTAAATCTTAAAATAAAAATAATTGAATTCTTTGTTTTTCTAAGTTCCTCCTAGCTGGTTATTTCATAAACTTTATAAAGTGCTTAAAGGTTCTGCCATGTTTTTAATTCTAAATGCTCTATTAGAAAATATTTTGCTTTTTGTCCAACTTCTCAGTCTACTGCATTCTTTTTTAATTTTTAACCAAAATGAACTAAATAGGAGGAAAAAGGATTACGTTAAATTCTGAGTACTATATTTTCTCTGTTCAGTGATAAATGCTTTAAATCAGATCAGCCTATGATCCGTGGTCTGACTTAAAAATTATTTAGTTTTTACATTTGGCTTCAGGTGATTTTTAACTGGAGGCAAAAATTGGGACTTTTATAATTAAGGGAAAAGAAAGTACATTCTTTGAACTTTTAATTTATTCAGAAAATGTATATTATCAGTATTAGCTTGAATTGAAAAGGTTTAATACAAAATTTATTTGTAATTGCTTGGGTGTTGTTAAGTACACATGTAACTCATTAAAACAAATTCAAATGGTGGGTCACAGACCACTAGATAATTCATTTTGCTACCTTTCTGGAAAAGAATAACAGGATGAGCACTAAGGGACATCTGATTGTCTCTTAAATTTAGTTTATTTTGGTCTCTCAAAATAAAAGACTCCTAAACTGCTGGACCTTTTTAAGAGTTATTTTAGAATAGTTGCCTTTTTTATTTTTATTTTTACCTTTAATATGTCAACTCCTCAAAATAGTTTTGTTTTTTGTTTTTTTGTTTTAAAGAATCAAACTTCCTTCACAACTTTACTATGGAATATTTTGCCACAGGGAAGTGAAGTGTGATGTGCTAGATGTATTTTTATGCAATCCCTGAGACTTGAATAAAATGGAATTTTGGAGTTTCATTATTATATATAGTCTCATTTTTTAAAATAAGTTTCTTAACAATACATGAATTATATGTATGTTCCTGAGGAAGGAAGTGCAGAAATGCACGCCAAATTGTTAACTATAGTATTATCTGGTGTGAGAGAAGTAAGGACTTCTATGTTTTTCTTAAACCTCAGGAATGTATTCATAAATGTGTAATCTTTTAAAAACTAGACTAAAATTAAGTGAGCATTTTCAGAATTTAAAAATTTTGAGGCTGTAATCTTTGTTCTTGGCACCTCTCAGTGGTCCAGGATGGATAGCTGTAAGAGCAGTTTGCTTGGGATAGAATTAAAAAGTCTATTTCCTCTTCATAATTGAGGTGGAAAAGAAGCAGCCTAAACAATGTTAAACTTGCTGGAGAGCACATGAACGTGATCTTAGCAAGACCCTAAACCTGTAACTAGTGTAATTTTGTGTTTCCTTTTTAGCTCCGGACCAAAATTTAACAGTGCCATCCGAGGAAAGATTGGGTTGCCTCATAGCGTCAAATTAAGGTTTTTAAACATACTTCTGAATTGTTTAAATTGTTTTTCAAGGAACTAATGTGGTGTATTTGTTTGGGTAACTTCTGGAACTTTTTAACTTTGCAGCAGACGACGTTCCCGAAGCAAAAGTCCATTCAGAAAAGACAAGAGCCCCGTGAGGTAACTGTTGTCACTATTTATTTTCTTTAGAATTTTTAGTTTTTATACAGCTTTTGTAATTTATTCTATTGCTAAAGTTAGTGACAGTAAGTAAATTGGACCATATTAAATGTCCTTTTGTAGCATTAGTACTGTTAAATGTATTTGTAAATTTTCAACAGCTTTCCTTCTAATTTCATATAAATAAATCTTAACCAAGTTGATTGGTTTTTAAATAGTCTTTGGTTCTTGCATGTTTCTATAGGTTATTTTCCTTTTAAATATAAGACTTACCTGTCCAATTTACCATTCTGTTCAAGCAATGTTGTATTATATCAGCAGCATTATATTGATAGCATTGTTCTTTACTGGTGTTCTGCCTTCCCTTAAAGGGAGTCTTTATTTATTTATTTATTTATTTATTTATTTATTTTTAATTGATTTCAGAAAGGAAGGGAGAGAGAGATATAAACATCAGTGAAGAGAGAATCATTAATTGCCTCCTGCATACCCCACACTGGGGATCATGTCTGCAACCTGTGCATGTTCCCTGACTGGAACTGAACCATGACTTCCTGGTTCACAGGTCAATGTTCCACCACTGAGCCACGCTGACTAAGCTTAGAGGAAACTTTTTAACCTTGTGTTTATCCTATTTCTTGGTATAAAAACCTCAATTTTCAAAGCTCTTGCAGATATTGACCAGTATAATATTTTATTTTCTTTCTAAAAATTCCCTTTCAGTTATCTTTCTCTGGATCTAGTCGAGCTTTGTATCTCTGTTTTTAAGAAATTATATTTTATTGATTTTTTTTTTTTTAATAGAGGAAGGGAGAGAGATAGTTAAAAACATCAATGAAAGAGAAATATTGATCAGCCACCTCCTGCACACCCCCTACTGGGTATGTGCCTGCAACCAAAGTACACCTCCTACTGGGACCCTTCAGTTAGTAGGCCAAAGCTCTATCCACTGAGCCAAACTAGTTTCGGCAGAATTTTAAATAGTTTTTGCCATTTCAGGTTCTACTTTCAAATTTATCTTTTGTGATTATCAAATTTAATTTCACTTAATGACTTATGGTTTTGTTGTGAGAAATCATCCTTTCTACTAACTTAAGATCAGTCTGATATGTAGCTGATTGGGGTTATATACTATTACTGTTCGTTTATAAATGTTCAGTAGTCTGTTGACCTTGTATTATCCTGGAGAAATTACCATTTTTAAGATTGAGAAGCCAGTGGATTTTTGACCTAATAAATCAGGCTTGGGAATAGTGGCAACCTAGTTCCATAAAGTTTATTTTGTTTACTGAAAATGCACTTTAACAAGAATAAGTTACAAATTGCTATCTTTCTTACTCCTCTTAGGGAACCTATTGATAATCTAACTCCTGAGGAAAGAGATGCAAGGACGGTTTTCTGCATGCAGCTGGCAGCAAGAATTCGGCCAAGGGATCTGGAAGAGTTTTTTTCTACAGTAGGAAAGGTAATCTTAGCCTATTTAGGATGATCATATAAGTGGAAATTGCAAAAATTTCAATAATTATCAGTATGACAAATAAAATAGAAGACATCTAAACACCAAACCTTGCCGAAGTCGGTTTGGCTCAGTGGTAGAGCGCCAGTCTGCAGACTGAAAGGTCCCAGGTTCGATTCCGGTCGAGGGCATGTACCTTGGTTGCGGGCACATCCCCGGTAAAGGGGTATGCAAGAGGCAGCTGGTCGATGTTTCTCTCTCATCGACATTTCTGGCTCTCTATCTCTCTCCCTTCCTCTCTGTAAAAAAATCAATAAAATATATTTTAAAAATAAACACCAAACCTTTTGATTTAGTAGAATTTAATTACAGAATCCAATTTATGTAACATTTCTATTTTAACCTCACTTGCAAGTTAATAAATATTGGTGATATAAAGGTTACCACATTTATCAAAAAAAAGGAGAAATGAGCCCACAAATGTACATATCTCTAAAATTTTTTAATAGTTTACAACTTTGCTTTATCATTAAGATGATTTTTTAAAAATTATTTATAATGGCTTATACTGGATGATTCCATAAACAACCTTGTGTTTTCTTTTTAGGTTCGAGATGTGAGGATGATTTCTGATAGAAATTCAAGACGGTCCAAGGGAATTGCTTATGTGGAGTTTGTTGATGTTAGCTCAGTGCCTCTAGCAATAGGATTAACTGGCCAACGTGTTTTAGGAGTGCCAATCATAGTACAGGCATCACAGGTAATTTTTTTTCTTGCTTTAGATTTTGATCATTGATAGTAATGGAAACCTGCTTTTGGCTTAGTGTTGTGCTGTAATGTTTTGTGCCTTAAGGTGTGAATACTTATTTCATAAAAAAGACTTGAGAACTTGATCTAGAATTTTATTGATTTGTAATAGTCTCTTGTTTATTTTTTCCCTTGTTTTTCCCTTGCAATTTGTCAAATTTAACAATTTTGACTTTTTATTTAGAGTACATTTATTAAAATTGGGGATAATGAAACAAGTTAGGGGTTAGAATACAAGAAGCAACAGGAGAGAGCCTAGGCAGACCTGCTTTGACTCACTAAATAGTTAGAGAAAAGGGGGCCTTGGAGACAGATTTATGGCTTTAGACGAGGAGAACTGGCTGCCTTGGTTGCAAGAGTTTAGGAGATGCATGCCTATAAGATATGAAAAGGTGAGGAGAGAAAGACATGTAAGCTCCCAGGAGAGCACGCTAATTTTGACATTTAAAAAACTTAACATTTTCTGTCCTGGCTGGTAAGCTCACTGGATAGTGTTAGCCAGTGAACCGCAGAGAATTAAAAACAATTCTTGGTGAGAATAACTCAAAAAAAATTAACATTTTCAGAAGATTTTACTTCATGTCAAGAGTAGTTTGGCCCTGGCCGGCTAGCCCATTTGTTAAAAGCATCATCCTGATAATGCCAAGGTTGCAGGTTTGATTAGCACATATAATAACAATCAACCAATGCCCTAGCCGTTTTCTCATTGGATAGAACTTTGGCCCATGGACTGAAGGATCTTGGGTGTGATTTCGTCACGTACCTTGTACCTTGGTTGCAGGTTCAATCCCTCCTACAAGGTGCCACATGCAGGAGGCAACCAATTGATGTTTCTCACATCAATGGTCCTCTTTCTGTCCCCATCCCTTCCACTCAAGGCAAAAACATTAACCAAACGAATGCATAAATAAATGGAACAATAAATTGTTTCTCTTTTACCCTTCCTTTATTCCCTCTCTCTACCTTACTTTCTTTAAAATCAATAACCTTTTAAAAAGTAGTTTTAGAATAGCCATCATTTCTAGTATTTCTTTAAAATAAGGTATTTCAACCCTTACCAGTTTAGCTCAGTGGATAGAGCCTTGGCTTGTGGACTCAAGGGCCCCAGGTTTATTTCTGGTCGGGCATGTACCTTGGTTGCTGGCACATAGGGACTGTGCTGGAGGCAGCTGATTGATGTTTTTCTCCCATCGATGTTTATCCCTCTCCCTTCCTCCCTGTAAAAAAAATCAATAGAATATATTTTAAAATAAAATAAGGGCCGGGACCGGTTTGGCTCAATGGATAGAGCGTCGGCTTGGGGACTGAAGGGTCCCGGGTTTGATTCCGGTCAAGGGCATGTACCTTGGTTGCGGGCATATCCTCAGTAGGGGGTGTGCAAGAGGCAGCTGATCGATGATTCTCTCTCATCGATGTTTCTAACTATCTCCCTTCCTCTCTGTATAAAATCAATAAAATATTTAAAAAAAAATAAAAAATAAAATAAAATAAGGTATTTCAAGCTAATTTAAAATATCTTGTAGCCGAAGCCGGTTTGGCTCAGTGGTAGAGCATCGGTCTGCGGACTGAAAGGTCCCAGGTTCGATTCTGGTCAAAGGCATGTACATTGGTTGCGGGCATATCCCCGGTAGGGGGTGTGCAAGAGGCAGCTGGTCGATGTTTCTCTCTCATCAACGTTTCTAGCTCTATTCCTCTCCCTTCCTCTCTGTAAAAAATCAATAAAATATATATTTAAAAAATAAATAAATAAAATATCTTGTAGCCCTAGCTGATTTGGCTCAATGGATAGAGACCTGTGGACTGAAGGGTTTTTGGTTCTATTGCTGTCAAGGGTACATGCCCAGGGTTTAGACTTGATCCCCAAGGTGGGATATGGAGGCAGCCAATCATTGATTCTCATCATTGATGTTTCTATCTTTTTCCTCTCCTTCTCTGAAATCAGAAAAATATTTATTAAAAAAGAGTATCTTCTAAAATAGTCCAAATTAATTTAAGAATATCTTTGCTGAAGTCGGTTTGGCTTAGTGGATAGAGCGTCGGTCTGTGGGCTGAAGGATCCCAGGTTCGATTCGGTTGGGGGCATGTACCCTGGTTGCTGGCAAATCCCTGGTGTGCAGGAGGCAGCTGGTCGATGTTTCCTATGGATGCTTCTGGCTCTCTGTCCCTCTCTGTAAAAAAAATTAATGAAATATATATATTTTTTTTTAAAGAAAAAGGAGCCGAAACTGGTTTGGCTCAGTGGATAGAGCGTTGGCCTATGGACTGAAGGGTCCCAGGTTCAACTCCGATCAAGGGCATTTACCTTGGTTTCGGGCACATCCCCAGTAGGGGGTGTGCAAGAAGCAGCTGATCAGTGATTCTCTCTCATCAATGTTTCTAACTCTATCCCTCTCTCTTTCTCTTTGTAAAAAAATCAATAAAATATATTTAAAAAGAGAGAAATGTGTTTTAAGATAATCTAAACTGTAATATAATTCCTCTATGCTGATTCTTTACAAAATAGGAAATATTTTAGTGCATTTAGACAAGGAGAAATTGGAATGTATCAATATCTACACTAATAAAAGAGAAAAGATGCAAATCTGTGTACCTTTGTAACTACCACCAGCCAATCGAGTGCGTGAATAAGCAAATTAGCCCAACAAAGATAGCAGGTTAATTTGCACACACTGAGTGGCAGTGGATGCTTCTGTGTCGGCCTCCTCGGCTGCTCCGAGTCTCTGGGCAGCGTGGGAAAGCGGAAAGGCAGCTCTGGCAGCCAATCAAATCAAACCATTCTTGCAGGAATGTTTGTGCATCGGGCCTCTATAACTTATATAATTTGAAAGTATGCATTAGGATTCAACATCTAAATAGACATGTTGGTAGGTTTTCAAATCACTGATTTAATATGCCATAACTCCTAAATTATTTGGTTCTTTCTTTCATCAGACTCATATAAGTTATAAATAAGCTTTGTAACCAAATCAGATTTGAAATTCCAGTTTCATTGCTAACAAGTCTAAGCAACCATAATCAAATTACTTGCTTTATGACCTGTAAAAGGTGATAATGTCCTAGTTAATATTTTGGGAGTTCTTAATGTTGGGTATTTATCACTTGATTGTATGTTAACAATAGAAAAGTAATTGGTCTGTTCTTTTCCTCTGATGGAGGAGTTCAAATATAATAGTTTATAGATTCACCTGACAACCAGGGCTCAGAAGCATCAAATGAGGTTTGAATTTACATAACTTTAACCTTTTTTTTCTCCTATACTATTCAAAGTATGCCATTTTTTTATGATAGGCACTTGGGAAAAAATGTCATGATTGAATGGTTTGATTTGATTTATAATGTACATTTTTACTTAATCTAACTTGTAGGCAGAAAAAAACAGAGCCGCAGCAATGGCAAACAATCTACAAAAGGGAAGTGCTGGACCTATGAGGCTCTATGTGGGCTCGTTACACTTTAACATAACTGAAGATATGCTGCGGGGGATCTTTGAGCCTTTTGGAAGGGTAAGTTCAATTTCTTGAACCAATAAATTTCAATAGGCTCTTGATCCAAGTGTAACTACAATAATTTTTGTATATCTACTTTGTTCTATAAAAATTAAGATGGGAGGGTGATTCTGCAAGGTTTTTGTGATAATTTCAATTAATCTTCAGGATTGTGACAACCCTCAATATCTTCCTTTTCTCTGTAAGAAGATACCGTGTGAAGTTAGATATTTTATTAATATGTTGTTATTCAAAACCCTTGGTTCTTTTGAATGCTTTTCTTCCTCGATATGTAGAGAAGTTTATCTACTAAATTAAAGTATAATTATATTTTCTGTTTATGTCCAGTGGGTCCTCATTTTGGAAAAGACATTTTATTGCAGAATAAATATTAACAGTAGGTTGTTCTTTGGTTTACAAGATTCATTTTGTGCCCGTGAATAAAAATCTTGGTTCCTGCCAGACCTTACCCACTAGCAATGTTCATTGCTCTTGAATGTATATTTTTATTGCTTTCTTTCATTACCCCATTTTAACCCTTTATTAAACTGTTTTAAATCAATAGTGGTAAACATAGGGGTGTTGCAATTGTGAATGCTTTGTGTATTGTAAATATACAGAAGTCATAAATGCATGGGTTGATCAATCATAAAATGAATTTCCTGAGTCCACTAGAACATGAGTAAATATGATAGGCATGCTGTATCTTATTTTTTCATGCTTTGTTTGTTTTTTGACAGCTTTATTTTGGGGTATCATAAAATTCACAAACCACACAATGCACCCATTTAAAGTAAACAATTGCTTTTTATTATATTTACAGAGTTGCACAATCATCACTAAGTCCAATGTTCTTTTTAAATAATTCCAACACATTGGGCAACTTATTTTTTTATGGTTTCGGCATAATGGAAAGGAAATAAAAATGTTTTCATTTCTAACATCTGACTGTATTTTACAAAGAACTTTTTATTTTTTGTTACTTGTTTTTGAGGCAAAAAATTAATATTCTTGAAATATTTTTTAGCTCCCTGGTACATGACTTCTTGCTTGGGAAGTTGCTACCCTTACAGAAGATTTTAGGGGTGGGGTAATTCGGGTTGTGGTATGTTTTCATTTGTTATTTAGGGAAGAGAGGGAGATTATTCAGTCATGTTTCAAGGAAAAACATTTTACCCCCCTACTTTTTACTTAGTAATAATTATGTTTTTTATTTCTAGATTGAAAGTATCCAGCTCATGATGGATAGTGAAACAGGTCGATCCAAGGGATACGGATTTATTACGGTAAACAAATAACATTACAACTTAAATGTTTTTGGTTTAAGCAGTATAGTAAACTTCATTAGTTATCAATAGTGGAGAATTGGACCATGGTTTAAATTAGCACAATGTCATATAGCCATATTTTAGTAGCAGTATGGATCTACCAAATGTGAAATTTTAACCAGTTTACTATAATATTCTGCATTTGGTCATTTTTCTTAGCCAGCTGTTCTTATAATTAAAGTCTTCAACTCCTTTAATTTTTGACTCTTGTTTGACACATTAAAAAAAAATAATATATATATATAAATCAATAATATATATATAAATCAATAATATATATATATATATTATTGATTTTTCACAGAGAGGGATAGAGAGCTAGTAACATCGATGAGAGAGAAACATTGATCAGCTGCTTCTTGCACACCCCCTACTGGGGATATGCCCTTGATTAGAATTGAACCTAGGACCCTCAGCCTGCAGGCCGACACTCTATCCACTGAGCCAAACTGGTTTCGGCTATTTGACACATTTTTGTCTGTTGAATGAGGTCTGTTGGATTTCATTTTACTTAAAATCCTTTTTATATCTATGTATCTTATCACAATGATGAGAAATGAGTTGTGTTTCTGACTAACCATTACAGCCCAGTCCATGATTTTAAAAGAACCACATATTCTTGCCAAGGATTAAAAAAAAAACCAACCAATGAATGCATAACTCGGTGAAACAACAAATTATGTATCTCTGTGCCTCTCATACCCCCAAGTATTTAAAATACAGATAGGTCCCAGTTTTAATTAAGAAATTACAATTTTCTTATATTCAAATTTTCATAAACTTTAACCTGTTGTAGGAGAGAATATTTTGTATGGTCACAAGGATTTTATTTCATTCCTGTGGTGCTAGTGAAAGGAGAAAACTTGTTTATAAAACTCTTAAACCACAAACATTTTTGTTTCTATAACATCAATGTAGTTATCTTCCTGCCCCCAATATTAATATTGGTAGTGTTTTTTTAAATGGGGGATTTTAAAGGTAACATAATGATCTGTAAGTTAAAATATTGTATTTTGAGAGGAAAGAAGGGTTAGTGAGAGACATCAATATGTTGTTCCATTCACTTATGCTTTTTTATTTATTTATTTATTTTTTGTACAGAGAGATAGGGAGATAGTTAGAAAAATCGATGAGAGAGAGTGAGTCATCGATCAGCTGCCTCTTGCACACCCCCTACTGGAGATATGCCCGCAACCAATGTACATGCCCTTGACCGGAATCAGTCCCCAAGCCTACGCTCTATCCACTGAGCCAAACCGGTCTCGGCACTTACGCTTTTTTATGATTCATTGACTGCTTTTATATGTGCCCTGACTAGAAATTGAACCCAAAACCTTGACATATGAGAATGGTGCTCTAACCAATCCAGTTACCTGGCCAGGGCCAGCAATTATTATTATTTTTTTTTAAATGTATTTTATTGATTTTGTACAGAGAGGAAGAGAGAGATAGTCAGAAACATCGATGAGAGAGAGTCATCGATCAGCTGCCTCTTGCACACCCCCTACTGGGGATGCGCCCACAACCAAGGTACATGCCCTTGACCGGAATCGAACCCGGGACCTTTCAGTCCCCAAGCCGACGCTCTATCCATTGAGCCAAACCAGTTTCGGCAAGGGCCAGAAATTATTTTAAATAATCTGATAAAAGATTGAACTACGGAATTCATGGGAATATGTTCTTTTCTTTCATTAAAGTAAAACCAGAGGGTATGAATTAAAATTTTTTGCATTTGCAACCTGGAATTAAGAATATTCATGATTTAATTGGCAAGAAAATTTGACTCAGCACTTTGTATTAAAAACAATATCTGGTCCTACCAAACTCAATGGTTGGAGTGTCCACCCATGGACTAAAGGGTCCCAGATTGATTCTGGAGTGGGGGTGTCAGAGGCACCAATTGATGTGTCATGGGAGAAATGGGCTCAGGGAACAAGTTACAGAGATGAAAGAAAAGCCCTTGGAGCTTAGGGAAAAGGGGGGTAAGGAGGAGGAGGGCATGGGAAAGGTGCTGGCATGCTTTCAAGAGGGAGTCCCTATCTTGTTATTTTATTTTATTTTATTTATTTTTTTAATATGTTTTTATTGATTTTGTACAGAGAGGAAGGGAGAGAGATAGAGAGCTAGAAACATTGATGAGAGGGTGTGTCATTGATCAGCTGCCTCTTACACACCCCCTACTGGGGATATGACTGTAACCAAGGTACATGCCCTTGACCTGAATCGAACCCGGGACCTCTCAGTCCCCAAGCCGACGCTCTATCCATTGAGCCAAACCGGTTTCGGCTTGTTATTTTATTTTTAAGCTTCCTTTCAGGAGCCTATCATTCTCTACTTTTTAAAATATTTTTATTGATTTCAGAGAGGAATGGAGAGGGTTAGATAGAAACATTAATGATGGAAAAAGAATCCTTGATTGGCTGCCTCCAATCACACCCCCCACTGGGGGATCAAGCTTGCAATCCTGGCATGTGCCCTGACCAGTAATCAAATCATGATCTCCTGGGTCCGAGGCTGTTGCTCAACCATTTTGCCACACCAGCTGGACCCTATCTAGTCATTTTATGTGTGTGTTTTTTTTGTTTTGTTTTTTTTTTAATATATTGATTTACAGAGAGGAAGGGAAAGAGAGAGCTAGAAACGTCGATGAGAGAGAAACATTGACCAGCTGCCTGTTGCACACCCCCTACTGGGAATGTGTCTGCAACCAATGTACGTGCCCTTGACCAGAATCGAACCTGGGATCTTTCAGTCTGCAGACCTACGTTCTACCACTGAGCCAAACCGGTTTTGGCTAAGTCATTTTCAATCACGTCAGTAATACGGTCTGATTATGTTCATTACATTATAGGTTAAAATTTCTTCATCATCTGCCCAGTTGTAATTATTGAATATTGTCGTATGTAATTTCCTATAAAAATAAAAGACTAATCTGCAAATTGGCTGAATTGCCGAATGACAAGTCGCTATGACGCATACTGACCACCAGGGGGCAGATGCTTAATGCAGGAGCTGCCTCCTGGTGGTCACTGCACTCCCACAGTGGGAGTGCTTCATAGCCAGAAGCCCAGAGCCAAGGCTAGCAAGAGCAGTGACAGTGGAGGGAACCTCTTCTGCCTCCAGGCAGTCAGACATCCCCCAGGGCTCCCAGACTGCAAAAGGGTGCGGGTTGGGCTAAGGGCCCTCCCTACCCCCGAATGTAACAATTTCATGTACCAGGACTCTAGTAAACTAATAAATAAGCATTTCCTTATCTATGTAAACTAATCTACTGGACTTTTTTTTTTTTTTTTTATCTCTTATTAGTTTTCTGATTCAGAATGTGCCAAGAAGGCTTTGGAACAACTTAATGGATTTGAGCTAGCAGGAAGGCCAATGAAAGTTGGTCACGTTACTGAACGAACTGATGCTTCCAGTGCTAGCTCCTTTTTGGACAGTGATGAACTGGAAAGGACTGGAATTGATTTGGGAACAACTGGTCGTCTTCAATTAATGGCAAGACTTGCAGAGGGTAAATTTTTTTTCCTCCCTTCCATCCCCCCAATTTTTATTTTTTAATTTATTTTATTTATTTATTTTTTTTAGTGTTAAATGATTTAGTATGACTATGATAATGAGAAAGGTATCTAGACCAGTGGTCTGCAGACTGCGGCTTGCGAGCTATATGCGGCTCTGTCCCCTGGGGATTTTAGCAAAGGCCAACTTAGGAGGACCCTCGTTAACAATCTATACAGTTTAATTATAAAAATTTGGCTCTCAAAAGAAATTTCAATCATTTGTTGATATTTGGCTCTGCTGACTAATGAGTTTGCCGACCACTGATCTAGACTAATAAATGGAAAGTGATTTATTTTGCAATTGATGTTCTCCTTGTGCAGCACATGTATTTAATTTCATAGATTAAGCTACTCACCTTATAGTTCTAATGGAATCTACTTTCTGGTGGTGCATTTTTGAGTACCACAGTGCATGCTACAGGATTCCTTGTGCTTTCTATAAAAATAACATTCTCAAACTTAATAAATTTAGTTGTAGCTCTTACACTAATACGCTGCTTGTCATGTTTATTATTGGATTGACTTTGGTAGTAAAGACTCAGAAGACTGGATTTTTCTGCTCTTAACATATTAAGGATTTTAAGACCTATTCTTTTCCAGGTACAGGTTTGCAGATCCCACCAGCAGCACAGCAAGCTCTACAGATGAGTGGCTCCTTGGCATTTGGTGCTGTGGCAGGTAGGAATTGAATCTTTTATAATTTGAAATCATTGTTTTTTCACCTAATTCGAAAATTTGCCAAATTTTTGTATTTAAAAGGACTTACTGAGAATTCAATTCATCAAGTACTTATAGCCAATAAATTCCCATAAGAAAATGGAGATAGAGGACAGAATTATTTACTAATCATAATAAATATCAGGATATTACATTGAATCCTTCACACCAATTTTAGTTTAGATTGCTGTAAGCCATAGAGACCAAAATGTTTATATTGCTTTACGGAACAAAATGTTTCCTTGTAATATTTAAGTTCAGAAAACTACCAGAGGGCTTTACTGAAGTGATTATAGTATCAAGGGTACTCAGTAAATTGCCCAGTAAAGTTCTTTCCTAAATAGTACACATTATTTTGAGATCTTAAGTTAGGGAATTAAGTTCTTGGAGAGGACAGAAAGGGAGGAGAGCATTGGCAGTTGATTATAATCCTCCTATATAATAAAAGGCTAATATGCAAAATGGCTCAGAAGGACCAGTCACCATGATGCGCACTGACCACCCACAGGGGGAGTGCTGCTCAGCCAGAACTGGGCTCATAGCTGGTGAGCTTAGCAGCGGTGGCAGACCATCTGCCTCTCTCAGCGCTAAGGATGTCTGACTGCTGGCTTAGGCCTAATCCATCAGTCAAGACATCCCCCCCTAAGGGTTCCCCGACTGCGAAAGGTGCAGGCCTGGCTGTGGGACACCTCCTCCTTTGGCCCTTACCCTGCTCCCCCCCCCCCCCCCATGAAACACATGGTCTTCCTCTCTTATATGGCTTAATAACGTGGATTTGTCTTTACATACCTTGGTATTAGTGCATATCTACAAGTTAGGATAACATTTAATTTTGAAATGTTGACAACTTGTGTGTTTTTTTTTTGTACATATCAAAATTATTTGTATTGTGAAGCCTGCATGATAGGAAATACTTTATCCCAAGAAAGTACGCAATTTATATTATGAATTGGTCCTTTTACCATATCTACAAATTGAGGCTGCAATATATAAAAAATGATATATGTACACCTGAAACTAATATAACATTGGATGTCAATTGTTATTGAAAAATAAAAAATTATTTTAAAAAGTAAATAATGAATGATGATGGTACTGAATCTGTATAAAAAGTTCATGTGGTTCCTTGTAAATGCAAGTTCAATAGCTGATTAATAGTGTAATTTTCTACTTTTATATTGCTCTTCATTAGTTAAAAGGGGCTTTTATTTTCTTCTTTGTTGTTAATTCTCCCCCAAGGGTATTTTTTTCTCATTGATATTTAGAGAGTGGAAAGGAGGGAGGGAGGGAGCCAGAGAGAGAGAGAGCGCAAAGTGAGAAACATTGATGATTGATGTGAGAGAGAGACATCACTTGCTTGTCCCCACCTCAGCTGGGACGAGATAGGGTTGGAACCTGCAACTCAGGTACTTTCCCTTGACCTGGAAAATGACAAGGTACACTCTAACCATTGAGCTCACTTGCCAGGCCAGTATTTTGTGGGTTTTTTTTTAATGAATATCTAAAAGTACCTTTAGAAACCTGTCTTTAGTTTTCTGTGCTTCCTGTCATATTGAGCAATTTATTTTGAAGTCTGATAGTTATTCTGTAAAATTTCTGACAAAACCATGCCAACTGTCACCTTATAATATTAAAAAAAGATTAAAAATCAGCCAAAACCGGTTTGGCTCAGTGGATAGAGCGTTGGTCTTTGGACCGAAAGGTCCCGGGTTCAATTCCTGTCAAGGGCACGTACCTGCATTGCGGGCACATCCCCAGTGGGGGGACGTGCAAGAGGCAGCTGGTCGATGTTTCTCTCTCATTGACATTTCTAACTCTGTCCCTCTCAATTCCTCTCTGTGTAAAATCAATAAAATATATTTTTTTAAAAAGATTAAAAATCAGAACAATTACTCCAATAATTTATTTTTACTTTTAAAATACATTTTTATTGATTTCAGAGAAGGGAGAGATAGAAATATCAATGATGAGAGAGAATCATTGATTTGCTTCCTCCTGCACGCCCTTATTGGGGGATCAAGCCTGCAACCCAGGCATGTGACCTTCACCAGAATCAAACCTAGGACACTTCATTCCACAGGCTGACACTCTATCCACTGACTCAAACCAGCTAGAGCTATTTTGACATTTTAAAAAAGCATTAGTAATATAATTTTCAGTGAACAAGTAGTTATAGGAAATCATTTGCTATAAATAATTCCTAGTTTGTGATGTGAAAATTATTTAACCTGAAGTCCATTCTCGTATTGCTTGCCATTCATTGTTCAGGTCATTCAGTAATTAAGGAAATGTTTGATTGTTCAACATATTTTAGATATTCTCACTAAAGGATAGTGACTTAAATTGTTTCCTGTCTTTGGGAATTTGATGCAGTGACATGATTGATATCTTAACAATCTTAGGTTTATTCTGGATGGTAAATCAAATACATTGATATAATCTTTTTCAAAACAGTATCTTTAATTGAAGATTTTTCAGTCAGCTGCATTCTTTCATCCCTTACTGGGGGTTGAGCCCACAACTTAGGCATGGGAATCAATGGGCCACTTTTTTTTCTTTATTAAATTATATTATTGATATTTTACAGAGAGAAAGGGAGAGGGTGAGTTAGAAACATCAATGAGAGAGAAACATCGATCCAGCTGCCTTCTGCACACTCCTACTGGGGATGTGCCCATAATCAAGGTACATGCCCTTGACCAGAATCGAACCTGGGTCCCTTCATTCAGTTTATAGGCCGATGCCCTATTCACTGAGCCACTCTGGCCAGACTCCACATGCTTATATTCTGGAAATTTAATAGATTCTAAAATAGAGTTTTTACCTTTATGAAACCAATGCTTTATTTTCTAACTTATAACCAATGACATAAAAATAATTTGAAGGTTTTTTATGAAAAGAAAACATGATTTTAAATATTCATATCTTATTGTCAGAGTACTTGTGGTCAGACTTAAAAATAAGTTCTTGGCAACCTCCAAATTAGTTTTGGTGGCTTCATATTCCTCTGGCCATAAACTTGGGATCAGAAAGTCATGTATTTATTTTTGAAATTTTTATAGGGATTTATTAACACTTAAAATAGTATGGATTTCTGATATCTATACATTTTTTCCCATTTTAGGAAAAATAAAAAGACAAATTGTGTTTTAATTTAAAGTTTATTGACAATGTTCCGTTCCTATGGTCATATCTTCAAGTTCCTTCAGTATACACCAGTTATATTTCTTCAACTCCTTGAGATGCCAATTTTGAGCACCTAGGACCCAGGTATACTTATATCCCAATATAACTTGGGCTGCGGATCCTGTTAGTTTTTGCCCATGTTTTTTGATCATTTTCATGTACTCAGCAAGGAACCCGAATGGCAAAGTGTTGCAGTTGAATCTCATGTTAATGAAAATTGGGTATTAAAGCTAACCAATTTCTATACTGTATATTTCTGAAACTTTTGAACTTTTTTAAAGATAGCTTTTCAACACTGGCATTTTCTTGACTATTCAGATCTGCTGCTGTTTTCACTTCTAGCAGCTTTCTCTTTGCTTTTAGTGTAGAAGTATTAACAATTTTTATATTGATAAAAATTCCTGTTTATTGTTAATGCTGACTAGATGCTTAGATTTTTCTGTATTACATAAATTATGATAAACCCAATTAGATTTCATTCCTGCCTCAATTTCCAGATGAGGTTATAAAACCAGATTTTTAAAAAAATTCATCTTCTCTGCTGGACTAGACTTTTTAATACTAAAAGCACTTCTAAAAAGTATAAAGTTAGAATGGTGTATTTTCCACTGGTGTTGCTCTTACTACTTCAGTTGGTACATTAGTGAAAGTGTTTACAGCTGTTAGATACTATTGCAGGGATCACTATTTTTATAAAAGTTTAAAAGCTTATTCCCACTGTTAGAACAATAAATAGTTGACTATCCCAAGTACTTGGAATTGAATTCTCAAGATCAGGGTTTTCATGTTTTTTCTGACCGGTGTGCTTCCCTTTCCCCATTTCCCATTATTCCCATTTGCAGACTAGTGTAGTGGAATGTATTTTAGATGTAGAAGAGTACTTAAATAGGAATAAGAAAAGAGAGGCATAAGTTTCCTAGGACAGGAGGAAAGAAGGCCCCCAAAGCCTTGCCAATGAGGAATGGGGAAGGGGGTTTGGCTGCCAGGTTTTACTATAAGTTCATTTTCACAAACCCTGCTACAGTAGTCCTCTTTTATTAATGCTCTCCTGACATTTACCCTGTTAGTTGAGGCTCTTCATTGTTCCTGCACTGAGCTGTAGAATTCTCTTTTGTTATAGATTTGCAAACAAGACTTTCTCAACAGACTGAAGGTGAGTTGAGCTTTTCATTTGTCTTTAAAATAAATGTAAATATAGCAAGACATAATTCTTTATTATATTCATCATTGTCTTTTATTTTTGGTCCAGTTTTTATCAGAATGACAGCCATATATTTATATTACATTACACACACAGTAAGCTATTTTGCTAATACATGAATGTTTTGGAAGGCCCAAATCCAAACTATTACAATTGCATGGATAAAAAATGAAAATGGTTGTGCTTTTTTAGCTTTAGCTTTCTTAGAAGTATTTTAATAAGCCTTTTATGCTTATTTTTGTGTAGTGATTGTTAGTTTTACATAGAAGTCAGAAAGTGATATTTGTTATTTAGATAAACAAATCTTACAGAACATAGTTTGTCAATATAAGATTAGGAAAAACTGGCTCTAACTCCAGTGATTTGTATATGCAGTACCAAACAATGAGAATATTATCCAGAACAAAATTGCATGCAGATTTCAGAGATTGAAATAATTTATAAAGTGGGCTATTTTTTCTTGTTTTTAATGTCCATGTTAATATCTGCCATTTAATAGAGCCATTTGATTTTGAGCAAATTCAGTATCCATCTTTTTTAGGCTATATTTAAAATTGTTTAGGGAAATTATTCTATTTGAGAAATACCTACCATGTTCCTTGATGGGAATTAAATGTATAGTTTTTCCAGTAAATGAGGCAGCTATATTCAATCCTTTTATTTCTAGTAGATTTTTAAAAGGTGAACTACCGTGTTTCCCCGAAAATAAGACATCCCCTGAAAATAGGACCTAGCGCAACTTTGGGAGAAAAAATTAATATAAGACACTGTCTTATTTTCAGGGAAACAGGGTAGTAGATTTTCCTATTAACTATATTTTTCTGCTGAATTTATTGTGTTCTGCATTCTTCTAGGTTGAGCCGGAATATTTCTATCATACATTTTCTAAATATTTTTCAGTATTCATAGTATATTGTCATAATTAATTGGAAGAAGTGGAAAAATTAAGATCTCAATTATTTTGTAATGACCTAATTTTTCTTCCCAGGCATACTTTCATTTATTTATGATGAGGTTACATAGGCTTTTTGTTTTTAAGATGTTCACCTATCTTTTTTTGTTCACCTATCTTTTTTTGTTTGCTTTTCAAATATTTTTATTGATTTCAGAGAGAAAGGGGGAGAGAGTTAGAAACATCAATGACGAGAGAAAGAATATTGATTGGCCAACTCCTGCACGACCCTTAGTGGGATCAAGCCTACAGTCCAGCCATGTTCCCTGATTGGGAGTCACCAGTGACCTTCTAGTTCATGGGTTGATACTTAACCTGTTAACCGGGGAGTTCCCTTTTTAATTACGCAACGGGCACGTACTTTTTCACTAGGATATGTCAGTACGTCACGCCCGGAGGACGTAATTTCATATTATTATTTTTTTTATTTATACTTAAAATAAATGAAATATATATTTTTTGTTTGTTTATATATAAAGCACAAAGGAAAATACAAAATTACAATAAAATAGAAAAGAATACCAACAAAAAAATGGAAACATTAATTAAAAAATTATAAATTTTACAAACAATTATAAAGATTACAAAAAATATATACCGTCCCTCTCAGGGCGCAACATATATTTCAAGGATGTATTCATACGTCCTACCTGATATTGTTTATGTTTGATGTATTTATAGGTCCTGCTTGGTTAACAGGTTAATAATTGAGTGACACCAGCAGGGCTGGCTTTATTTTTTTAATCGTAATATAAACATGGTTGCATCTTTAACTTTCCCCAATGGAGTTTGACATCTGTTAAGTCACTTTAATAAGTAGCCTAATTCTATCAGAAAAAAATTTATTTTATGATGTTTTTCATGTGCAACCATAATTTTTATTCAATGGAACATTTCTGATACTTCAGGTGAATGTTTAATTATAATTTCTAACGCAATGCTTTATCCTTAGCTTTATTGTTATGTATTGGAATGAAATTTGGTCAAATGTTTTGATTACGGTGAGTTGTGTAACAGTACTGTTAATGTTGTATAAATCACATGTGGACAATGAAGCGGCTGTCTTGGCCAGTGCTCTCACTTCAAACTTCAAACCAAAAGTTTTAAATGCTGAGCTTAAATATCAGTGTTCAATATTTTTTTACTTTTAATATAGTGAATATTTTAGTCTTATTTTATTATTATTATTATTATTATAAATAATAATTTTTATAGTCTATTATTTCTTATGCTAAAGCAGACAATCATTTTTAAAAGATTAATCTGGTTTTGTAATATAATTTATAATTCTAGGATATTAAATCTTAGATGCTTGGGTAATTTTATGCATCTTATTTTTAAGACTTATTCCTTTTATAATATTTGTGTTTTTTAGAAATATATAACTATGTATTCACAGGTAGACTCCTAAGAAATACAATAGGGTCATGGGTTTATTTGGCATTTTACTTATTTATTCATGTTAGAAGTTCAGGGGGTGGAGAGAAACATCCATTTGTTGTTCCACTTATTTATGCATTCTTTGGCTGCTGCTTTGCCCAGAATGGTGATCAAACCCACAACCTTGGCATATTGGGACTAAGCTACCATCCAAGGCCTTATTTTGAAATTTTAAAATCCTATTTCTTAGTGGTTTTTTTTTGGGGGGGGGGTGGAGGGGATTTTTAGAGAGAGAAAGGGATAAGGATAGAGGTAGAAACATTGATGAGAGAGAAATATCTTCAATCAGCTGCCCACTAATGGGAACTGAGCCCCCAACCCAGGCATGTGCCCCTGTTGGTAATCAAACCAGTGACCCTCTTGGTCCTAGGTTGATGCTAAATTTCTGATTGACCCTGGCTGGGCCAAAATACACAGGTATAAACTCAAAACAATTTTACAAAGTCAATGTTATGTTTAATGCTTTGTCTGTCTGGATTGATTTGTTTTTTTGTATAATTCTAAGTTTGATTACACATAAAGTTGAATTTCCCTTGTGAAAAATAAAACTACCAACTTTCTCAAGATTGGCCACTTCAAATGTTGATGCAGTTTTCTGGCAACTAAAATGAATTCTGTTACACACTTTGATAGTCTTATTAAATAAGTTAAATTAGTTAAGTGGCTGGCTTGACATTATACCCTAGTTTCATACTTTGGGTTTATGGGTTTAATGGGTTTTTTCTTTTGTTTCATTTCAATGCATTTTCCATGAAACTAATTGCCCCTCACCCCCCCCTTTTTTTTTTTAGCTTCAGCTTTAGCTGCAGCTGCCTCTGTTCAACCTCTTGCAACACAGTGTTTTCAACTATCTAACATGTTTAACCCTCAAACGTAAGTAATGTTCAAGTTCAAACACTTAGGATGTTTCCATATATTTCATAGTTCAAATAGTGCAATACTTTTTATCCTTGTAGCACAATTATTATGCACATTGTTGGTTATTTTCTTTGGATCTGTTTGTAAGATTAGAATTGAAAGCTATCCAGATTTTATATTACTAAAGTTTGTGTCAGTGTTTATTTTGGTTACCAGCTTATAGCAATTATGGGCTTTGAGATTTTAAGTTTATTTCAGTTTAATAGCAGAAAAGTTTTTTTTTTTTTAATTTGTTTTTGATTAGTGCAGGCTGTTAATTAGAAATATTTTCTACTTCCTATCCAGTGATTAGAATGCTATTTCTTGAGTCCACATTTTGTTGTTTTTTTGTATTTTTTGGGGGGGAGGAGGGTTTCAGTAAATTTTTATTTTTTAAAAATATATTTTTATTAATTTTGTACAGAGAAGAAGGGAAAGGGGGAGAGAGTTAAACATTGATCAGCTGCCTCCTGCACACCCCTTACTGGGAATGTGCTCTCAACCAAGGTACATGCCCTTGACCAGAATCAAACCCAGGACCCTTGAGTCCATAGGCTGATGCTCTATCCACTGAACCAAACCAGTTAGGTCTTGTTCTATAAATTTTTATTTTTATTTATTTATTATTTTTTTAAGAAATTCATTTTAAAAAAAGAAATTGATTTAATTAACATGGTTTATATACTTGTTTTTCTGGGTCCATGATTTTTTTAAATTTATTTTTTTAAAAAAATTTAAATTATTAGTTCTGTAAATTTTTAAATCAGTCACTATTTTTTAGGAAATAAGTTTCATACTTATAAATTTGAATAATTTATAGCATGCTGTTATATTAATATTAGTTCAGAGTTTACCATAGAAAGAGCCTAAAAATTTATAACCTTCTTTAGAAATGTTTTATATCTTTTTTATTTCTTCCAGTGCCCTATATCTAACTGATTTTTTAAATTAAAAAATGCGTATTTTAAAATGTTTATACAGTGTCTAATAAAGCTTAATACTTTCTTACAGAGAAGAAGAAGTTGGATGGGATACAGAGATTAAGGATGATGTGATTGAAGAATGTAATAAACATGGAGGAGTTATTCATATTTATGTTGACAAAAATTCAGCCCAGGTATTTATTTGCTCGTTTTATTTTAATACTAGAGGCTTGGTGCACAAAAATTTGTGCATGGGGGGATGTCCCTTAGCTCAGCCTGCACCCTCTCCATTCTGGGGCCCTTTGAGGGATGTACGACTGCCCTTTTAGGCTCGATTTTATTGGACCAAGCTGGCCTAACTGCTCCCTTGCCATCCTGATTGCCCCTAATTGGCTTCCCTTGCATGCCTGGTCTCCCTGCTAGCCATCTTGTGTCTATATGGGGGCAGCAATCTTGTGTGATGGAGTGTCGGTCAATTTGCATATTATTCTTATTAGATAGGATGTTTTTATTGGTTTCAGAGAGTAAGGGAGAGGGAGATATAGAAACCTTAGTGATGAGAGAAAATCACAGATTACACTGGCTCCTGCATGCCCCTACTGGGGATCGTGCTTACAACCCAGGCAGAATAAAACCGGGGACTCTTCAGTATGCAGGCTGATGCTGTATCCTCTGAGCCAAACCAGCTAGGGGGCTATTTGCTCTTTCTAATAAGCAAAAATGTTGCTCTCTTTGCCTTAAACTTTACAGATGCTTGGGTCATATTATGATTAAACAATTACATAGTTATAGAACATGTAGGCCGCTTGAATAAACCTGTTCAAACGCACACTGTTGGGTAATACTTCTTTTGGTTGTATTTTAGGGCAATGTGTATGTGAAGTGCCCATCAATTGCTGCAGCCATTGCTGCTGTAAATGCATTGCATGGCAGATGGTTTGCTGGTGAGTTTAATCTTTCTTTTCTGATTATTATGGCTCTAATTAATCTAAGTGAAGATATTAAACTACCAATATCTGTTTTTTTCAACAGGTAAAATGATAACAGCAGCATATGTACCTCTTCCAACTTATCACAACCTCTTTCCTGATTCTATGACAGCAACACAACTACTGGTCCCAAGTAGACGATGAAGGAAGATATATAGTCTCTTATGTACATAGCTCTTTTTCTTTTGAGAATTCATCTTGAGTTATCTTTTATTTAGATAAAAATAAAGAGGCAAGGGTCTACTGTCATTTGTATACAATTCCTGTTACCGTGAAAAAAATAAAAATGTTAACAGGAATGCAGTGTGCTCGTTCTCCCTATATAGCAAATCCCACTGTATACAAAACTTCTCTTGTTCTGCCTTTTAAATGTACATGTAGAAAATTACATTAAGGATCTATAGAAATAGCTCTAGGGGAACAAATGTGCTTAATGTATAAAGGCAGACAACAGGGATATAATGTTTTTAATGTTTCATTTCAGAAGCCTAACTTTTTACACAACAGTTACATTTCACATTTTCACTAATGTTGATATTGGCTAATGGTTTAGCAGACAGGTTTCTGAAATACACATTTGGTGTATGGAAATTCAAGATAGCTAAAGGGCTGTTTGATTAACATCTCATCTTGCACTCTGATCAATTGGCAAGAAAAGATTTCAAAATTACATTTCTGAATGGTATCTTTTCAATTAATGTATCTGTAAAAGTTTCTCTGTAAATATGTTTTAGTGTGTCTTAAGATTCCAAACAAAATGCTCCCTGCATTTCCTCAAGATGTTTAGTGAGTCTGGTAAGCAAAAGGCTGAGCAAGAAATGGGAAATGCAGAAATAGGTTTTGTCTGGTTGCATATAATCTTTGCTCTTTTAAGCTCTGTGAGCTCTGAAATATATTTTTGGGTTACTTCAGTGTGTTTGACAAGACAGCTTGATATTTCTATCAAACAAATGACTTTCATATTGCAACAATCTTTGTAAGAACCACTCAAATAAAATTCTCTTAAAAAGGCCACAAGAAATCTTGATTTTTGAAATGTTTTGAAGTCATAGAAACATGCAAATAGAATATTAGTTTCTTTGACTTTTCGTAATTATTAGGTATTTGCCTCTGGAACAATTATTAGCCGTCTGGAAAAATTCTTGCCCTTGAGTTGTCTCTGTACATTCCTGTATATTATCTCTTTGCATTGTACTTAGGGTAATTATTAAAACTGGTTTACACAAAAAGGAAAACAAATTCAGGCTTTAAACTTGGGTATTGTTAAGTTTCCTGTGTTGTCTGGACATCCTTGTAAAAATATGCTTATTACTATTTAAAGTAAATACTGAACAAAAAAGTTTAAAGTGATTTCCCAAACTGATTCAAGGCATTTACTTCATTATGGAATTTTGAGCTTTAACTTGGGTAGTGAGCCATCACCATTTATACTTTGAACTCTTGTTTCAAGTTGTGTATAGGTTGCACCTTTGGATAGGTATTGATCCCAATGGAATGACTATCATCTAATACTGATTTTCTTACCTCACTTCTGTTTCTGCTGCATTGATAGCATTGAGGCACAGGTTTTACACTATTTACTTTGTATGGAGCCATCACAATTTTCTACCAACGCTTTTGGATGAGTTAGTCCAAAATTGCTTAAATTATTCAACCGTAAGTTTTAAAATTAAAGTTAACTTGATTTTTTAAACACTGGGCAACCGTTTTTCTTGGATCTAACTTATGTGTTCTATCCCCCCCACACCCCCCCAAAAAAGTCATTTTTAAATTCTTGAATCAAGCCTTGTTCTGTCAGGTTTGCTCATTCCAACAAAGATGTCCATGGTTTAATAAAGGCAGCGAAATTTAGCTCTACCACAGGATGAAATTTGGGTTGTAAATGATGTTCAAAGCAAATGTCTTAAATAGTGTGATACATAGAAAGGAATGCCAATTGCTGTTTTGGGTGAAATCCTCTGGGTAGACATCTCACCTACTCAGGAAAATCTGTAACTGCTATTTGTATTCTGGAAGTAACCCTGATTTTGGCTGAATCTGAGTCTTATGTTCACAAAATATTTTAGGTCTAGTTTCTTGTAAATATTCCCATTTACTTAGAACCTACTTATCAAGGCAATTACAGCTGAACCGCGGTCCAACATAATTTGTTCTGAAAGACTTAGAAAACCAAAGCATTTTCCCCCCATTAGAAATAAACAATTTGTTCCAGACTCTCAAATGATCAGTTTTACACTTTTAAACTTTTTTTTTCATTTAAGAAAATATATTTTATTGATTTTTTTTTTTTTTTTTATAGAGAGGAGAGAGCTAGAAACGTCGATGAGAGAAACATCGACCAACTGCCTCTTGCACACCCCCACTGGGGACAAGCTCACAACCAATGTACATGCCCTTGATTGGAATCGAACCGGGGACCTTTCAGTTCGCAGACCGATGCTCTACCACTGAGCCAAACCGGTTTCGGCCAGTTTTACACTTTTAACAATCTTTTTATTGGTTTTTTAGAGGAGGGTGGGAGAGAGAAACATCCATGAGAGAAGGGAAACATCAATTGACTGCCTTACGTTGGACTTGATCAAACACAACCTGGGGATATGCCCTGACAAATGGAACCTGCATAATCCATCTGAGCTACACCGGCCAGGGCATAATTTTTCTTATATATAGTACATTTCTATACTGTACTGTTTAGACATTTTAAAAACAGACATGAAATTTAAGTTTACCAAAAGGAAATGTACAGTAAAATAAAAATTTAATGAGAAGGGAAATACAGCACAATTTCCTGAGATGTTAACAGTAGTAAACAGACTTATATTCCTGTATTTTTTCCTCCACCTCAGATACATGACTGAATCATACAGATGGGTATCAGCATGAAAGGGTTGTATCAAGAAGCAAACTGTTCAAATGAGATAGGAGATGTTTGAGAACTGAGGTTTGACCAATATAATTTTGTGGGGGGGTGAGGAATAGTCTATACAATTCACATCCTCCTTGATGACAGGTAAGATAATCATCAGGGATTGATTTTAGTTGAAAAGCTATAAAAGTGCCTGATAGTTTGATTTTGTGTCACCATGGATAACTGGTTCTTTTTCTCATCAAGCCAGCAGGTATATCTGGACAACTTTTGAATGAACGAAGTATTGAAAATAAAACACCCTTGCCTGGATGGTGTTGCTAAACGTACTAAAAAAGAAAACACCCTTTTGAATTGTGACCTTGAGGAAATGATTTTAAAAAAAATATATATTTTATTGATTTTTTTACAGAGGAAGGGAGAGAGCTAGAAACATCGACCAGCTGCCTCTTGCACACCCCTCACTGGGGATGTGCTCACAACCAAGGTACATGCCCCTGACCGGAATCAAACCTGGGACCTTTCAGTCCGCAAACCGATGCTCCACCACTGAGCCAAACCGGTTTTGGCAAGGAAATGAAATTTTTACCTTTAAAACACTAATGATGGGAGACATGCAATGCTTCCAACAATAAAGATTTATATAAAAAATTAAAACTGATAAATCAACAAAAGGTTGAGTAATAAAGGTTTACTAGAATCTATGAAAGTTTCCAGCCATGGAAAAATTTTCTAGTTTGTAAACACTCAGGTCTAGAGAAAAAGAAACCTCAGCCCACCTCGGAAAATCTCTAAACAAGGTGTATAAAAGTCTGCAGAAGAAAAAAATGCCTCCAAACACAGACTACTCAAAGTGTTTTTATTATAGTACATGGGCTGGGGCTGATGGGATAGGGTAGATGTGAGCAACCATTGCCCTGATTAGCATCGGATGCCCATTCCGATAGCCATGAATGTGCCAAAGGTGCCGCCACTCTGCATCATGGTTTTCCCGATGCCGCCCATCAGCTCCCGACCCCGCATTCCAATCCTGAGAGGAGGAAACCAAGATGGGGCCAATTGGGAACACAAATATTATATATGGAGAAATATGAACTGCCTTTTTCCAACGTGTGCTTCTAAGGATGAACCATACACTCCAGAAGTCCAATAGGACATTAGCCCCTCCCCCAGGATCAGTAATGATTAGTTGAAAAGGATCTATCAGAGACTGCCTTTAGTTTCTGAGAGGCTGCAAATACAGTGTCAAGTACATGGAAACCACTTTTTTTCTGCTTGGTTTTTTACCTTTCAAGCATGTACATATGATCCAATAACAACAGCTGTGTTTTAGATGGTTTCCTAGTGTTAAAAGTGATTGTGGAGTCATTTTACAGACTGTCAAGTATAAAAGAATTGTGATAACAGCATCTAGCACAGTGATTGACACGAAGTGCAAAATAAGTAGTAATTTCAGTCTGAAAAATTGAAAGTCATATGTGAAAGTGACACTGTAGAATTTATCTGCTGCATTTCTACATCCTGTTGCCTGTAGTAAAACTGCTCAAGTTTCATGATGTGCAGTCGGGAATAACGGCAACGACAGTAATAACCATTTCCTGAGGATTTAACACATGCTCGGTTCTGTGCTAAGTGTTCTCTGCCTTGATCCTCACAACTCTAGGAGGTAGATGTTACTAACTTGGTTCTACACCTGAGGAAACCCAGACTCAACCTGCCTAAGGCTACAGAAGTAGCGAGCGCTGGGGCGGAGGGATTCCGACCCGTCCTAACGGACTGAAGATGGTTAGGAAACTAGTCTCGCTCCGAGGTCATCGAGACTGGAACGCGCTAGGCTCCATTCGGGCAGCAGGCCAAGCGGAGAGGGCGGGGAGGTCCGCGAGTCCCACCCCAGGTCACCACCGCGCCCCTCACCTGAGACAGGAAAAGGTGCCGAAGAGTGCCCCGGCCGCCATGCCCACGGCGCAGCCCATCACAAAGCCCATCTTCACCCGGTCGAAGCAGCTTGGCTGGGACTGTCCATAGGGACCCACGGTCACCGGCATCTGCGAGGTTCGAGGGTCAGGGAAATGCAGGCCTGACCGCCAGCCCTAGAATCGGGCGGAGTCAGAGGAAAAGGGGTGGGGAGCGGACCTAAGGGTTCGAGGAAGCTCGGGAAGGAAAATCAGCGTGTAACCCGAATCCATCACCCTCTGAGCGTTCCGACCCTCGAGCCCCCACCTCACCTCGCTCGCGGCCTCGGTCTTTCAGTTCCACGTCTCACGGAACGCAAGGCGGAGCGCGCTGGTGGCCCGAGGAATCGCTTCCGGGGCGCAGAGCAGTACTTCCGGGAGTCTGTAGCTGAGTACTGCAGCGGCTCGGGACAAGGGGCTGTGCCTCCGGGACCATGTTGCTGCGGACAGCTTGGAGGCGGGTGGCTGCGGCCCTGCCGGCGGCTCCGGGGCCGAGGCCCGAGGCGCCCACCCGGGGTCTGCGCCTGCGCGGTACGCTCTGGGTCCCGCTCGCCGCCACCCTCCCGGCCCGGGAGGCGCACCTTCTTTCTCCTCCGCGCGGCGACGCAGCTCAATATTCCGTAGCCTCTCTCTTCCGCCCTTACCCGGACCCTCTGACCCTTTCCCTCGGCTTCATCCCTCCAGTTTTCTCTAGCTGGCCTTCTTAGCGACTTCGCCGCGACCCACTTAGATCTTATCCCACTGGCCTTCCCAGCCTGAGAGGCTCGGCCTTCATTCTTCTAACCAACTTTTAGAGATGCTAGCCGTCCAGCAAGGGACCTTCAAAGGCGATCTTCCCTACTATGTCTCCACATCCCTTCTAAATGGCTTTGCCATTTCAGAGCCTTCCCAACTCCCAACGATGCAACTTTAATATTGGCCCTAACATCCCTCTCCAAGAGCCCTGCCTCTGTCCCTTATCTCCGTTTACAGTTTGCTCAAATCCTGATGTTTTCTTTCGTTTTTCATTAAGATTCAACCCCAGTATTCCTTAAACTTTACCTTCTGATGTCTTGGATACCCTGTGTCCATAGTCACTTGGCCACTCTGTTCCATATTTTTGGCAGTTGCAGACCATGCTCCCCAGTCAGCTGTTCCCTCCGATACAGCCATTGCTCCGGAGATGGAGTCAGTGCTGCGACCTCTGTACATGGATGTGCAAGCTACAACTCCCCTGGTAAGAATGGAGAGGCAGCTTTTCCCATGCTGTTTGTAGGGATTATATTGTGGAAGTGACAATATACAGAAGTGGTTGGATTCTTGTAGAACTAAGAGCCACTGATGAGTGTATGCAGGAAAAAGCAGTGAGCTAGGAGTTAGGAGGCTTAACTTGTAGTCCACTTGAAATGATTCAACTACTTATATACAAGCTATTGATGTTGGTCAAATCACTTCAGTGCGGCACTATAGTAGTAATTAAAATCATGAGCTCTGGAAGTAGCAGCATGGCTATTTAGTAACTATGAGTGTGAGCAAGTAGTAAATGGATTAAATTAAAAAGACATAACACAGCCCTTAACAGCATGGCACGTGATGAGTGCTTGAATATTAATACAAGATTTCACCAATATGTGGACTCTGTCATAACCTGGCCCCTTGAAGATCACATATCCTGGCAGGAATGTAAACATCTGCAGAAATGGCTGTTAGGAAATGACAGTGTTTATAGATTACCCAGGAAGATGGGAGATGGCCTGATTTAAGATGGATTGGGAGTGTGAGTGTATTAAGTTGATATTTGGTTAGTACCTGAGGGACTGGAGGAATGTTTGAGGTCTAATCTGGGCATTGTCTGAAGGGTTGGGAGTTTGCTGAGGCAGGTCTGAGGAGATGGAGTGGGGCCTAAGTTAACTATGGGGCTCACGAAGACTGATCTGTTCTTTTGTGCTCAGGACCCTCGGGTACTTGATGCCATGCTCCCTTACCTGGTCAACTACTATGGGAACCCACACTCCCGGACACATGCTTATGGCTGGGAGAGTGAGGCAGCCATGGAATGTGCTCGCCAGGTTAGTACAGAGGAATCTGGGAGGTACTGATGTCATGGATTTAGTGGCCTGTGAGAGGCATTTCCTTGGTAGGTATGGATGGAGGTACAAATGGTTTGGGACTCTTTAAGAGATTCAGAGAGCAGGCCTTGGAGTCCTCTAATGGCATTTGATTAGTTCCCACATTCCCTAAAGAAATGACCTTTGGCAAATTATTTAATTTCTCTAAGCCTTAGTTTCCTCACATTGCAAATGAGATTGTAACCCTACTCCCTAGGGTTATTGGGTGAATTAAATGAGACAATGCTAGTGATGTGTTTATTAATCTAATGTATATATCTATCTATCTATCTATCTATCTATATATATGATGAGTCCAATAGTGCTTTTTCTTTTAATACAAATTTTAAAAATTGATATTAGAGGAAAGGAAAGAAAGAGAAAGACGATTGATTGCCTCCCACATGTGCCCCGACTGGGAATCAAACCCATCTTTTTATATACAGGACAATGCTCCTATCAACTGAGCCACACTGGCCAGGGCTGAAATAGTGTTTGTTTGTTTGTTTGTTTGTTTGTTTAATGTCTTTATTGATTTTATTTTATTTTATTTTTTTTTTTTAATATATTTTATTGATTTTATACAGAGAGGAAGGGAGAGAGATAGAGAATCAGAAACATCGATGAGACAGAGTCATCGATCAGCTGCCTCTTGCACCCCCCCCACTGGGGATATGCCCGCAACCAGGGTACATGCCCTTGACCGGAATCGAACCCGGGACCCTTCAGTCCCCAAGCCGACGCTCTATCCATTGAGCCAAACCGGTCCCGGCTCTTTATTGATTTTAGAGAGAGGAAGGGAGAGGGAAAGAAAGACAGAAACATCATTGACAGAAAAACATGGATTGGCTGCCTCTTGCATGTCCTCTACTGGGGATCGAGCCCAAACTGTGACCTCCTGGTTTATAGGTTGAACCCTGAGCTACACCAGCCAGGCACTAGTACTTTCTTTTTTTTTTTTTTTTTGTTAATCCTCATTTGAGTATATTTTTCCATTGATTTTTAGGGAGAGTGGAAGAAAGAGGGAAAGACAGAGCGAAACATCAATGTGAGAGAAACACATCGATTGGTTGCCTCCTGCATGTGCCCCAACCAGGGACCCAGGTCTGGGAGGAACCTGTAATCAAAGTACATGACCTTGACCGGAATCGAACCCGGGGTCCTTTGGTCTATAGACCAATGCTCTGTCCACCAAGCCAAACCGGCCAGGGTGAACTAGTACTTTCTTAAAAACAGCATTATTGTTCTGGCAGGGTGGCTATTGAGCATCATCTCATGCACCAAAAGATCACCAGTTCAATTTCTGGTCAGGGTACCTACTCAGGTTTTGGGTTTGATCCCCAGTCTGTCTGTCTTTCTCTCCCTCCCTCCCTCCCTCCCTCCCTCCCTCCCTCCCTCCCTCCCTCCTTCTCTCTCTCTCCCCCTCCCTCCCTCCCTCTCTCTCTCTTTTTAAAATCAATAAAATCAGCCCTGGCTGATTTGGCTCAGTGGATGGAGTGTCGACCTTCAAACTGAAGGGTCTCAGGTTTGATTCTAGTTAAGGGCACATGCCCGGATTGCAGGCTTGATCCCCATTGGGGAGCGTGCAGGAGGCAGCCAATCAATGATTATTTCTCATTATTGATGTTTCTATCTCCCTTCCTCTCTGAAATCAAAATAAAAAAATATTTTTAGATAAAAAATAAAATCATATTTTAAAATATATTATTATTATTATTATTATTATTATTATTGTCTTGTTTTGGGCTGGAAAAGAGTCTGGGATCTGGGGTGTAAGTGAATTTATCCTTGTCTGACCCTAGTAGGTACAGAGCTTGTTCTTGGGCAGTTGATAGGACACAGTGGAGGTCTAGAGGTCTGTCCTAGCTGTGTCCTGGGGTCAAGTACTTTCCTGGGAACTGCTGGTACTCATCTCTGTTTCTTGACTTGCAGCAAGTAGCATCTCTCATTGGGGCTGATCCTCGTGAAATCATTTTCACTAGCGGTGCTACTGAGTCCAATAACATAGCAATTAAGGTAAGAGGGCATATTGGGGCTTTCTTGACTTGGGATATGGTATCTTTCTATCATCTGGGCTCATACATATATTTCCCAGCCACCCACTCCCGCCCTATTGTGAAGAAAAGACACATATACTCTTTCTAATTTGTTGTTTCCTTCAATTCTTTGCCATCTAAAAATCTTTGCTCCTGTTGAACTGAGTTCCGTAAGATAGTTGGATAGGAAAGGAGGTAGCTCTTGGATCACTTGATTTTTTGGATAGTAGCTACTTCACAGAGTGGACAATGGTGACTTAACACTTTCCCCTTTCCTTCTGATCTAGTCACAGTGAAGTCCAGAATGCACTTATAATCGGGCATGTTTCTCAGTTTCATTCTTGTATGTGTGATTTCACAGCTGCCTTCCTCTCAGCCTTCCTTTTCTTTCTGATCAGATCTATTTGCAACAAGTACCTCCCATTTTTTTTAGATGTCCCCATTTTTTAAAGTCCTGATTACTCTGGTACCCTCTGCAGGCATTCATTTGGTCACCCATTCTAGGATCAGCAATTCTATCCTTGGGACATACAGATATTTGGTACTTATAAAAGTAAAATTCCACACTCAGTAGTCATGTTGGTGTTTCATGGAATATACTCACCTCTGACTGAGCCTGGTTACTAGGATCACTTGTGTAAATACCCTGGTTCTGGTAACTTGTGGGCTGCTATGAATTCAACCCTGGCTTTACCCCTCTCGCCATTGTCTCTCAACTGTGCGTCCAGTATTTTATTTTATTTTTATTTTATTTTATGACCTGTCCTGAGTGTAAGAGGCCAGGGACAGGCTCCAGAATCATACTGCCTGATTCTGTTAGCAGGAAAGCATCCTTTCTTTGGACTATAGAGATAACAGAATCAGATCCCTCTAAAGATGGGGATGGTTTCAAAACTTTGAAAATGTTTGCTTTGAAAGGTCCCACAGATCCCAAACCCAGAGGTTAAGGATCACTAAGAATAGTTGTGACATTGTCCCTTTAGTCTCCTGGATGGGTAAAGTAAATACCTATGTGCTATTAGAGACTTCTACACTGTGGTTAAGTGAGATAGGAGACGGGGCAACTTTTAAATGTTTTCCTTTTATGTCTCTTATCCTTGAGAACATGCAGTTATTATATTGTTTTAAATTTTGCCTAATTAGTTTTGTTTTTTTCAATATATTTTATTGATATTTTACAGAAAGGAGGAAGGGAGAGAGATAGAGAGCTAGAAACATCAATGAGAGAGAAACATCGACCAGCTGCCTCTTGCACACCCCCTATTGGGGATGTGCCTGTAACCAATGTACATGCCCTTGACCGGAATCAATCCTGGGATCTTTCAGTCTGCAGATTGATGCTCTACCACTGAGCCAAACCGGCAAATTTTGCCTAATTAGTTAATATTATTTTATAGTAGTGCTCTATGATAAGCTCTGGAGGAATGGAGTTGTACATTTTATTTCTTTAATTTTTAGAAAATAATTCATATATTCGTAGTATGATTTTTAATTCTATAGAAAAGTTTAAAATATAATATGGCTTCCTCCCCATTCTGCTCCGAATTCTGTTACTAAACTAATTCTGTTTATTGTTGTTTCAGAAAACAACAACACATATATATGAATATGCTTTTTAATATTTTCACAAATTATAACATGTAATATTTATTTTTCTCTAGCCATTAATAACATATCTTATGTTCTTCCATTTCAAACTCCATTATTTTTTTTTTTTCAAACTCCATTATTTTTACTGTAAGTACCTTCTTGTTTATGGAGTTGTATTATTACAACTTAGTATTCATTTTACTATTCATTCTCTTGGATGTGTTTAACCTTCCCATTTTTCTTGAGGATTGTAAATATAACTAAAGCATATTTTGTCTCTATAGCTTCTCTATTTTTTGAAATATTTCCCTAAGGTAAACACCCAAAAGAGGAATCACAGTTAAAGAATGTGAATACAGCCGAAACCGGTTTGGCTCAGTGTAGAGCTTTGGTCTGCGGACTGAAAGGTCCCAGGTTCGATTCTGGTCAAGGGCATGTACATTGATTGCGGACCCATCCCCGGTAGGGGGTGTGCAAGAGGCAGTTGGTCGATGTTTCTCTCTCATCGACGTTTCTAGCTCTCTATCTCTCTCCCTTCCTCTCGGTAAAAAAATCAATAAAAAATATATATATATTTTAAAAAGTATGTGAATACGGAGAGAGGATCCAAGATGGCTGCTCGGGTAGATATCTAGCCGCGGCAGCACACAACAATTTCAATGGAATACAACTAAAATGTAGAGTGGACATTGCCCAGAGCTACAGGTAGCCGACTGACTGAAATTTCTACAACAAGAAGGAAAGAGAAAACCAGAAGGAAAATCAGAGGAGCTGAAAAAAAGCCTAAGGTACTGAGACATGCTGCGCGCCCGCCCGCACGCGCGCACGGAGAGGTCGCAGCCCGAGAGGAGGAGAGGGCGGGGAGCTGCCTGTCCTTCCCTAGCAGGAAGGAAATAAAACCCCCAGCCTGGGCTGAACCCCCGAACCGGCAGCGCTGAGCCCCCCTAACCGGCAGCGCTGAGCCCCAGTTATGGGCCAGACCCTGGGGACCCAGGCTCTGGTGGGAGGAGACGGGGCCGTGAGGCGGAAAAACGGCAAAAGGCAGGGCCCCGGGAGTCGCGCGCAATGCGCGCAGAGGACTGAATGTTGACTCTGATGCTGGGTTACCCTAGCCGGAAGAAACAAGGCCTCCGGCGGTGCTGAGCCTCAGTCCGGACTGCTCTGAACCCCAGTTCAGGGCTAATCCCTGGGGACCCAGGCTCAGGCAGAGGGAGACGGGGCTGTGAGGTGGAGTCTGGGGAGAGCGGCGAAAGGCCGGGCCACCAGGACTCGCGCAAACTGCGCGCAGAGGACAGTCTGTTGACTCTGATGCTGGACTTCCCTAGCGGGAAGGAGAAAAAAAAAGCTCCAGGCTGGGGGAACGCGGAGGGGAGCGGAAGCCCCTGCCGGACTCCAGCCAACCAGGCACCAGCAAGGAGCCCGGTGACGAGGCCCCTGGGGGCGTGGGTGCCCCTGAGCCTTTGACCACTGATCTCGGGCAATGGAGCCAAGGCCGGGCAATGGAGCCAAGGCCGGGGGCTGCTTCCTGGACGGCGCCGTCCCGGCAACAGGCTGAAGCAGCACAGGAGCCCGCGGAGAACAAAGGGGTGCCACAGGCCAACCTGCTGAGCTCCCAGGACAAGGAGGAAGAAACCAAAGAAGTTCTCAATGTGAAGAAATCAAGTGAGAGCAAAAAATAGTAAAATTACTTAAGAAAGAATACAAAGAAGATCTTGAAAAATCAAAGACTAAGTCAGAACTCAACTCACCAGCCAACATTGCAACATAAATGCGTTTTAAAAAGAAAAAAGAAAAAAGAAAAGGACAGAATGTTGGAACAGCGGCGGCCAGGCCTAGAGTGGCCAGGCACAAGGCAGTGGCAGCCAGGCCCGGAGCAGCAACGGCCAGGCCCCAGAACAACAGCAGCCAGAACCAGAGCATCAACAACCAGCACTGGAGTAGCCAGACCTGGGGCAGTGGCAGCCAGGCCTGAGGCGGAGGCGGCCAAGCCCAGGGTGGCCAGTCCAGGAACAAACAGACCCAGAGTGGCCGGGCCCGGAGAAGCTGGGCCCAGAGCAGCCGGGGTGGGAGCAGCCAGACCCAGAACAGCAGTAGCCAAGCCCAGAGCATCCAGGTCGGGAGTGGCCAGGCTCGGAGCGGCCGGGCCCGGGGCAGCCGGGCCCAGAGCAGCCGGGTCGGGTGCGGCCAGGCCCGGAGCAGCGGCTGCCAGGCTGGGAGCGGCCAGGCCCGGGGGAGCAGCCGGGGCTGGTGCAGCCAGGCCCGGAGCAGCGGCTGCCAGGCTGGGAGCGGCCAGGCCCGGGGGAGCAGGCGGGTCGGGTGCGGCCAGGCCCGGAGCAGCGGCTGCCAGGCTGGGAGCGGCCAGGCCCGGGGGAGCAGGCGGGGCTGGTGGGGCCAGGCCCGGAGCAGCGGCTGCCAGGCTGGGAGCGGCCAGGCCCGGGGGAGCAGCCGGGTCGGGTGCGGCCAGGCCCGGAGCAGCGGCTGCCAGGCTGGGAGCGGCCAGGCCCGGGGGAGCAGGCGGGTCGGGTGCGGCCAGGCCCGGAGCAGCGGCTGCCAGGCTGGGAGCGGCCAGGCCCGGGGGAGCAGGCGGGTCGGGTGCGGCCAGGCCCGGAGCAGCGGCTGCCAGGCTGGGAGCGGCCAGGCCTGGGGGAGCAGCCGGGTCGGGTGCGGCCAGGCCCATAGCAGCGGCTGCCAGGCTGGGAGCGGCCAGGCCCGGAGCAGCCGGGTCGGGTGCGGCCAGGCCCATAGCAGCGGCTGCCAGGCTGGGAGCGGCCAGGCCCGGAGCAACAGCAGCCAAGTCCAGAGCAACTAGGTTGGGAGTGGCAGTGACCAGACCCGGAGCAGCTGGTTGTGGAATGAACCAGAGCAACAGAGGCCAGGCCCTGAGCAGCCAGGCCCAGAACAGCTCGCTCCTTGCCTGCCCCTGCCCCACAGCTGCTTCTCAAACATGGCTGGAAACTTTCGTGGGAACTTGAGTGTCTGCTGAATCAAGTGATGAAGGCTTAGATCTGGATGTGTTGAGTTAGTTTAGGACTGGGGTGTTGATCTGTGAGTGCCTTGGGTGGGGCCTGGATGAGGCTGGTGGACCTATTGGGAAATGTCTTTTGTGTGAAGTGTATCATTGGGCATGTGGAGGTATTATTGATATGAGAAAATGCTAAGTAACTGATTTACTATCTGAAAAGGGATTTATTATTGGGGAAAGGGAGGGAAGAAGAGACTGAACATAAACTGCATCTATGGATGAGGACAATGGGGGATGGGGAGGGGGCAGAGGGTGGGGTGGGAACCTGGCGGAGGGGGGAAGAAATGAGGAACCTTTGTAATAATATGAACAATAAAGATTGATAAAAAAAAAAAAAAAAAAAAAAAGAATGTGAATACTGCTTTTAAGACATCTTTCTACACAATTATCTGAAGATTTAGAGCTTAAATATGCCATTAGCAAGGAATAAGTATATGAGTTTCATTTCTATACTGCCAGCTTTGGGTATCAGTATCTCTATTTGCATGCTTTGCTATTTAAATAGAAATAAAAGAGAGGCTTTTGCTTGTGGTGTAAGGTTAGGCATGTTCTGTATTTTCCACCTGTGAATATATTTGGTCTTTGTTCTCTGTTCCTGTACAGAGCTTCAAAAACCCTTGGAGTTTTCTGAATGACAGGATTGTCATTCCTTATTCAAAGCAAGTTTCTTTGTACCATTCTGAGTTTATGGTTCTGGAATAATTCATGTGGACCCTTAGTTTCAAGGGACAGGCTGCCTACTCCAAAAAGATCAAGCATGTGATTGAAGGGTGGGAACTTCCAGCTATCCTGTCCTCTGGGGAGGAGAATGGGTCTGGAGATTGGATTCAGTTCAATGGCCAAACATTTAATCAGTCATGCCTGTGTAATGAAGCCCCCATAAAAACTCTGGACAACAAGGCTTGCATCAGCTTCCAGGTTGGTGGACTCATGGGTGTGTGGAGAAGGTGGTGGCATGCCTAGATTCCAGGAGGAAAGAGCATGGAAGCTCTGAGCCCCTCCCCACATAGTCCTTACCCTATGCATCTCTTCCATTTGGCTGTTCCTGAGATGTATTCTTTATAATAAAACCTGAGTCATAAGTACACCACTTTTAATGAGTTCCATGAGTTATTCTAGTGAATTATTGAACTTTAGAGGGCTGTGGAAGCCCTAAATTTGTAACCAGCTGGGCAGAAGTATGGGGGGGTGGGAGGGTGGTTGTAACACCCAGGACTTGCAGTTGGTGTTGGAAATGGAAGCAGTCTTCTGGGCCTGGGCCCCTTAACCTGGGCTAACGCTGGGCAGTTAGTATCAGAATTAAATTGCTTTGTGGGACAACCAGTGGGTGTTAGAGAATTGACCTTGAAGTATACCACCCTTGCCCACTTTTCCTTTACAAATGGTATGGAAGTCATTGCTGTCTCTCTGAGTATATTCTCCTTTTTTTCACCATCGCCAATTTACAGGGGGTGGCTAGGTTTTATAGGTCACGGAAAAAGCACTTGATCACCTCCCAGACAGAACACAAATGTGTCTTGGACTCTTGCCGTTCACTGGAAGCTGAGGGCTTTAAGGTCACCTACCTCCCAGTGAAGAAGAGTGGGATCATTGACCTGAAGGTAGGAGTGCTCTTGGCATGAGGAGGAAATTGGAGGAGCATGGCTTCTGCCTGTCTATCTTTATCCATCTTCAGTCTTAGCTTAAGCTTGAAGGACTAGATCTAATGATGAGGGTGGGGCTTAGAGAAGTAGGCCTAGCAGAGAAACCAAGAGCACGTTCCCTTTGAGTGTGTACCATCATCCTTTTCTCTGGAGGATGTATTTCTCAGCTTTTTGCTGCTTCCTGGTTTGTGTGGGATGTGTGTGTAGGATGCCAGGGGCTGATATCATGGTGAAGCTCTGGCCTCTTCCTCCTCTACTCTAAAGGGGAGCTATAGTTTTTTAGAAAAATATTTCCCTTTTGGTTATATGTCCTTATGTGTCCATTTTGGGTAGTGAGTCCAAGCATCTTGTCCACCAGAGTTTGGATACTAGCATCCCTAGACAAATCCTAAGATATAGTATGTAGACAGAACCCTGTCATGTACATTTGGAATTGATGAGGGAACACAAGATTACATGAAGGTTGGAGAAAGCGAGGCAGAGAAATCTCCATGATTGGTTTACAGGATAGTTAACAAGATTATGTGCTCCTATGAGGTGTGGAAAAGAGGATTATTCTGGCATTTCAAAGGTGTATTAACCTAGATGCCCAAGGTAAACTTTTCACTAAAGAAGTTAGAGGTCAAGGGCATATGTACCCACCATTCCTGCCCCGTTAAGAATTTTTTTTAGGAATTTAAAAATAAAATCTTCACCAGAGGATAGTTTTCCCATTGCTTTTCAGAGAGGACACAACTGGTTGCCTCCCACATGTGTCTCCAACCAGGGCCAGAGAGCGAACCTGTAACCCGAGTATGTGCCCTTGATCCAGAACCAAATCTGAGACCCTTAGGTGCTCAGACTTATTCTCTAACCATTTATCCCACTGGTCAGGGCCAGTTAGTAATTTTTTTATCAGATCACCCTGTGAGATTACTTTTGGTCATTGATTTATTACAGCACCTCTTATTTTAAAAAATATATTTTATTGATTTTTTTACAGAGAGGAAGAGAGAGGGACAGAGAGTTAGAAACATTGATGAGAGAGAATCATCGATCAGCTGCCTCCTGCACACCCCCTACTGGGGATGTGCCCGCAACCAAGGTACATGTCCCTGACCAGAATCGAACCCAGGACCCTTCAGTCCGCAGGCCAACGCTCTCTCCACTGAGCCAAACCGGTTTCGGCTACAGCACCTCTTTTTGTTCACAAGTTTTATAAAGAACAAACACTGCCAAAGTGTTTGGTTTTTATGTCAAAGTGTTTTTCAGTTTGGCTGTACCACTTTACATTTCCATGAGTAATATATGAATGATACCGTTGCTTTGCATTCTCCCCAGCAATTTTGTATTATCAGTATTCTGATAGGTGTGTAGCAAAAGGTCCCCTTTTCAAGACTAAGCTTGCCCACATTCTAAGTTAGGGAGTACCTGGTAGTGTTGGATAGCTTTCTTATTCCTGATATTCTTAGGAACTAGAGGCTGCTATCCAGCCCGATACCAGCCTGGTCTCAATCATGTCTGTGAACAATGAGATTGGAGTGAAGCAGCCCATTTCGGAAATAGGTGAGTTTGGTGATGAACCCTGATGCTTGTCCACCAAGCAGCTGAGTAGCGGGAGGGGACTGGGAGCTGTAACACTTTATAGAACACAGTATGGAAACCTGGGGAAAGACACACTGTAAATGATGTAGCCAGTATTTGAATCCAGGTCTAGTACCTTTTATGTGCTTTTCATTTTACTGCAGTTGGTATAGTAAAAAAAAAAAAAAAAAAAAATTATAGTAAAAAAAAAAAAAAATCTCCCAAAACCTCTACTCTTCCTTTTTTCTTCCTGTTTCACTTTTGAACATCTCTTTATTATGCTAATTTAGAGCCAGACTTAACCTCCTAGTCACATTAGCAAATTCATCTGTTAATCTTTACCTCTTTTAAATAAAATGGGTTATGAAAGTTGGTCTCTTTTACATAAAAAAGGTTATGAAAGACCAGTGTTGAAGAGAGAGAAAGATAAATGACTTATGGTTAGAGGCTAATGCCAAATGCAGTTTTGCCTTAGAACTCATGGAACATTGTGGGATCACTGCAGGGTGACTTTCCAACATGGTGCTCTGATCTTTCCCTCTGTTGTTTCCTCAGGGCAGATTTGCAGTTCCAGAAAGGTCTATTTCCATACCGATGCAGCCCAGGCTGTTGGAAAAATCCCACTTGATGTCAACGACATGAAAATTGATCTCATGAGCATCAGTGGCCATAAAATCTATGGTCCCAAAGGTACCAGCCCTTCCTGGAGTTCCTCTGCTCTGTACCTCCCAGTAAACCCTTTGATTGGTGTTTCTTGTGTTGTAGGCAACATAGCACCAAGTGTCTATAGCTGGTGGGGTCAGACCAGACCTGGGTTCAGCAACTTCAGTATTTGAGTTTTGGCTAGGAAAGAATTTAGAGCCAAGACCCAAACTATAAGAGAACATATATTTAGTAAAGCACAGAGGTAGAAAAAGTAATTCCTAGGAGAAATGAGCTTAGGAAACAAGTCATAGAGGTAAAGGAAGAACCCTTGAAGGTAGGGAGTGAGGAAGATAATGGTAACATGCCTTGGGGGAGGGTAGAGAGGAATAGAGAAAGGGAAAGGCATGGTCATGCTCTGGGGAGGGAGAGCACTGGGTGGAGATTTAATTTTATTTATTTATTTATTTATTTATTTATTTATTTATTTATTTATTTATTATTTAAAACACATTTGAGAGAGAACATTGATTTGTTGTTCCACTTATTTATTGGTTGATTCTTTAAAATTTTTTTAAAAATAAATAAATAAATATATATATATATGTTTTATTGATTTCAGAGAGGAAGGAATAGGAAGAGAGAGATAGAAACATCAGTGATGAGAGAGAATCTTTATTGGCTGCCTCCCACACATTGGACTGAGCCTGCAACCCAGGCATGTGCCCTTGACTAGAATTGAACCTGGGATCCTTGAGTCCGCAAGCCAACACTCTATCCACTGAGCCAAATTGGCTTGGGCTGGTTGATTCTTTTTTTTTTTTTTTAATATATTTTATTGATTTTGTACAGAGAGGAGGGGAGGAGATAGAAAGCTAGAAACATCGATGAGAGTCATCGATCAGCTGCCTCTTGCACCCCCCCCCACTGGGGATGTGCCCGCAACCAAGGTACATGCCCTAGACCGGAATCGAACCCGGGTCCCTTCAGTCCCCAAGCCAACGCTCTATCCATTGAGCCAAACCGGTCTCGGCGTATCTTGGAGATTTTACAGCGGCAGTATAAAAGGAGCTTTCTCATTCTTTTATACACCTGCTTTGTATTTCATGTGTCATAATTTATTTGCCCATACTCCTGATGAAAGACATCTAAGATGTTTCCTTTTTTTTTTGCTATTGTGAGTAATGCTGCATTGGGTGATGCCATTTTACACATGCTTAAGGAGCTACTTTAAACTTAAAAACGAGTTTTGACTTCTTCTGGTAGTTATCCTCCTGATGTTAAATAATTTTGATATAACCCTAGCTGGTTTGGCTTGGTGGATAGAGCATTGGCCTGCAGACTGAAGGGTCCCAGGTTTGATACTGGTCAAGGGCACATGCCCGGGTTGCAGACTCAATCCCCAGTAGGTGGGGTGCAGTAGGTAGCCGATCAATGATTCTCTCTCATCATTGATGCTTCTCTCTCCCTCTTCCTTCCTCTCTGAAATAAAAAATATATATATATATTTTAAAAATAATTTTGATTTGATATGTATTATGCTTTTACTGCTGTTTATTTTTGTCCTCAACCTTTTATATTTTAAAAAATTTCAAGCTTACAGAAAAGTTGAAAGACTATTTTGACCCCTTTGGAAAGTTATATTTTGTTTCATCTGCATTTTTCTTTTTCTCTTTTATGTAACAAACTTTTGTTTCCCAGGGGTTGGTGCCATCTACATTCGCCGCCGGCCCCGTGTGCGTGTGGAGGCCCTGCAGAGTGGAGGGGGGCAGGAGCGGGGTATGCGGTCTGGGACAGTGCCCACACCCTTGGTGGTGGGCCTGGGGGCAGCCTGTGAAGTGGCACAGCAAGAGATGGAGGTATGGAGAGAGCAGTTTCCTCTCACAACCTTTTCCCCTGTGTTGAGTCTCCTGTTAGAAGCTTCTCAGCATGATGAGTCAGATCTCTGGCAGAAGAGGACGTTTAAGAAAACTGTCTTTGTCCCAGTGCTGCTGGCATCTTGTTTTGGAGGGAGGTGTTATGGGCTCCAAAATCCAGGTCCTTTCAGTAGTTATCAGCTCATTTATTTCTGGGTATTGGAACCCATGTGTCCAATTATTTAGCACCTTTGCATACTAGGTGCTGTGCTCCATGCTGGGGATACAGTGGTCTCCAAGAGTAGCATAGGACGATAGATGGGTCTAACGCACAGTCACTTCTGGACACAGGAGGAGGGCTCCTTGTCCTGTGCTGTTGATGGTCACTAGTTCTCTCTTGCCTGTTCCTTAGTACGACCACAAGCGAATTTCAAAGTTAGCAGAGAGACTGATACAAAAGATTATGAAGAGCCTTCCAGATGTTGTGATGAATGGGGACCCTGTTCACCATTACCCAGGTATGGACATGCCTTTTCTATTCCTATTCTGGAAGAGCCTGAGACTAAGACTCCTCTCATAGTGGTTCTTTTTTCCAGGTTGTATCAACCTCTCCTTTGCCTATGTGGAAGGGGAGAGTCTACTGATGGCACTAAAGGATGTGGCCTTATCTTCGGGGAGGTAAGTTGGACCAGATAAAAAGGACTATGGCAGGACCAATTAGCCTGGCTTCTAAGCTTTATATCAGATTATTGAGCTTTCCAGTATAGAAATAACAGAGACAAGAGCTCTTGGTTAAGAATAAAGGTCATTTTGTAAGCATCTATTTACTTATTTATTTTTATGTTTTGTTAACCCTCATCCAAGCATATTTTTTCATTGATTTTTAGGGAGAGTGGGAGAGAGAAGAAAAGACAGAGAGAAATATCAATGTAAGAGAAACACACCGATTGGTTGCCCCCTTCACTTGCCCCAACCAGGGCCCGGGAAGAGAGGAGCCTGCAACCAAGGTACATGTACTTGACCAAAATCGAACCCAGATCCTTAGGTCCACAGAATGATGCTAAATCCACTGAGCCAATCTGGCTAGGGCGTAAGCATCTATTTTTTTAGCAAGCTGGACACAGGCTGAAATTGCAATTCTAGGAGGGCTTCTTGGGGTAGAATTTTGTACGTGTTATAGTCCTGGGAGATGCAAGTATCAGTTCTAGTATTATATTAGCAGTTCTGTAGTAGGCCTCAGAACTGAAGTATACTTTGAAGGCCATCACGGGTTTAGCTGCCATCTATGCTGGTACAATATGGTGTATTCAGTCACAGGAGAGTGAACACTGTTCTGCTGCCTCTTGTTGTCAGACCAGCTCTTGTTGTGGTGTCATTCTGTGGCAATATCCTTGTTCAAGGAGTTTAACCTCCATATGGCCCAGAGGAGCTTGATTTACATCCCAGAAAGTGCCAGTAGCATCCGGCCCTTTGGTTCTGACAGATGGGAATGTCTCTTTTGTCTCCATGTTATGACTCTAGGGGCCTGGGAGATGGGAGCAAGTCTGGGGGTTTGGGGCTAAAATCAGATGCTGATGAACTGAGAAGGTTCGGCTCTTTCTCCTCAGTGCGTGCACTTCTGCATCCCTGGAGCCCTCTTATGTCCTTCGAGCAATTGGCACTGATGAGGATTTGGCTCACTCTTCTATCAGGTCAGTCAGCTGAGCTGTAACATCTATGAAAGGCGTCTTTTAGTGTGTTTCACCTCCTGTTATCGTCTCCTCAACCTAGTTTTCCTTATTCCTCCTTAATTCTTCATGAACGTTTCTAGACCAGTGATTCTCAGACTTCACTGACTAACACCTGGGAAGTTTGTGTCAGATGAAGATTTCTGAATCCTACACTCCGAGAAAATGATTCACTAGGCCTGGAGGAATAGGAAACTTCTCTGCAGATTCTAATGTGGCTGGTCCACAAACCACAGAAACTGAGCCCTAGAGGGGAAGGACCATGTTCTCTCCATGTTGTGTGTGGAGTAAATCCTCACTAAGTATTTGCTAATGAATTTACCTCAGTGCTAGAGCTCTGATGCAGAGCTCTTCTCCTATGCCCTTTTCAGGTTTGGCATTGGCCGTTTCACTACAGAGGAGGAAGTGGACTACACGGTAGAGAAGTGCATTTACCATGTGAAGCGTCTTCGCGAAATGAGGTACGCACCGTTGTAGCAGAGACCCCTTGGAAGAAATTGCAGTGCTCATGCTGGGTTCACATAGCCAGAAACCAGAGTTTGCAACTAATAGGATTTTAGGATTTAGAGGTTCCACAAAGCAAAAAAGTGAATATCTTTGGCTACTTATTTTCAGAATATGGAAAAATGTTTTTAAAAACTAAAGAAGCACATAAATTCTGGTGTTTTTTGGAGTATTCATAGTTGTCATTGCAGCAATATCAATCCACAATTTGTGATTTGTAGTTTAAGTATAGGAAAACTCCCTTTAATAAAGGATTCTTAGCTGCTTCTCCTCTAAGCCCTCTCTCATCTAATATCTCTTCTCTTTGGCAGCCCTCTCTGGGAGATGGTGCAGGATGGCATTGACCTTAAGAGCATCAAGTGGTCCCAGCACTAGAAGGGTGGGCCTTGGACGTTGTGCTTCCTGTTTGCTCCTGTGTCATCACTGCGCGGCACCGCATTACACCCAGTGGGCGTTTATGTTCCAATCAGAACTGGTGTAGCCCAGTTGACTTCAGCATCAGCTCACTCCAAGACAGAAACACAGGCTCTTTCCTGGGTCTCAGCTTTTTTTTGGTGGGAAACACTCCCCATTTATCTCCAGGAGTCCTCTGTTCTTATCGTCAGTGGATGTCTCTCCTTGAAAGGGAAGGAACATTTGTTATGATCTTGCCCTATATCCTTGGTGGAGAGAACCAGAAGAGAAGAAGGCTCTTTGTTCAGGGACCCTGTTGCTATACATGGACATTTGAGTTGTTGCTTACTGCTACTAGCAAGACTGATTCCTTTAGGAACAACATAATCAACTATGATTTAAACTTTTTTGTGGCCTCAAAGGCCACATCTTCATATTGACTGTAGATGGAACAGACTGTTCTTATCTCCTTTTCTTTTGACCTAGTGGAGTGAGAAATATCTATATAATAATACCCATTATTTTGATAATTTGTTTCTTTTTAAAAAATTGTTAATTTGCAAATTAGAGAAATAAAATTGTCTTCCTCTATTTGCTCTGTGACTTTATGAGAGAATTCCAAGCTGTGATTTGGAATTGGGGAGCAGACTACTACTCCACTTGATTTCCATAGATGACTCAGTGTGCTTGCATATGTCTTCTTTCAACAATTATTTGAGTGCTTGTCAGGAGCTTGATATTATTCTGGGTATTGGGGATACATTGGTTAACAGGACCAAAAGGACCTTCCCCTCATTCTTGTTGAGAGTCAGAAAATAATGAGTAAATAAATAAGCCTATGGAAGAAATAGAGTAGTAAAGGAGATAATGGGGAGAACCTACTATGTTGGACATACTTTGAAATCTTTTTTGAGGAGATAAGAACAGTCTGTTCCATCTACAGTCAATATGAAGATGTGGCCTTTGAGCAGAAATGTGATTTCCAGTCATGGAAAGAGCTAGGGATGAGTGAAGGATGAGAAGGAGCAACAAAAGCAAAAGGGACATGTTATACTGGACTCTAAGCCATTTCCTAGTCCAGTAGTACATTTATCCAATAAAAAGTCATTGATCGGTGAAAAAAAAGCAAAAGGGCCTGAGCTATGAAAAGCATGGTGTGTTTGAGAAACCAATAGAAGGCCAATGCAGCTAGAGTAGAGTTTTTTCCATTTGTGGGTCTTAAGACATAGGTGGATAGTTATCAGAACACAATAGAATGAGAGAAAAATAAATTAGACTACATCAGACATATTTTTAAATTATTTATTTGCATGTATATACTAAGTTGCAAATGAATTTCTTATGCTGGCGATGATCAAAAAAGTTTGAAAGCCACTAGTCTAAAGTATGGTGAATGTAGATGGACAGGAGAAGGAGATGAAATACATTTTTTAAATAAATTTTTTTGAGGAGAGGATCCAAGATGGCTGCTCGGGTAGACATCTAGCCGCGGCAGCACACAACAATTTCAATGGAATACAACTAAAATGTAGAGTGGACATTGCCCAGAGCTACAGGTAGTCGACTGACTGAAATTTCTACAACAAGAAGGAAAGAGAAAACCAGAAAGAAAATCAGAGGAGCTGAAAAAAAGCCTAAGGTACAGAGACATGCTCGCACGGAGAGGTCGCAGTCGGAGAGGAGGAGAGGGCGGGGAGCCGCCTTTCCTTCCCTGGCAGGAAGGAAATAAAACCCCCAGCCTGGGCTGAACCCCCGAACCGGCAGCGCTGAGCCCCCCCGAACTGGCAGCGCTGAGCCCCAGTTATGGGCCACACCCTGGGGACCCAGGCTCCGGCAGGAGGAGACGGGGCAGTGAGGCGGAAAAACGGCGAAAAGCAGGGTCCCGGGAGTCGCGCGCAATGCGCGCAGAGGACTGAATGTTGACTCTGATGCTGGGTTGCCCTAGCCGGAAAAAACAAGGCCTCCGGCGGCGCTGAGCCTCAGTCCGGACTGCTCCGAACCCCAGTTCTGGGCTAATCCCTGGGGACCCAGGCTCAGGCAGAGGGAGATGGGGCTGTGAGGTGGAGTCTGGGGAGAGCGGCGAAAGGCCGGGCCCCCGGGACTCGCGCAAACTGCGCGCAGAGGACAGTCTGTGGGACTCGCGCAAACTGCTCGCAGAGGACAGTCTATTGACTCTGATGCTGGACTTCTCTAGCGGGAAGGAGAAAAAAAAAGCTCTAGGCTGGGGGAACGCGGAGGGGAGCGGAAGCCCCTGCCGGACTCCAGCCAACCGGGCACCAGCAAGGAGGCGGGCCACGGGGCCCCTAGGGGCGTGGGTGCCCCTGAGCCTTTGACCACTGAGCTCGGGCAATGGAGCCAAGGCCGGTGGCTGCTTCCTGGGCGGCGCCGTCCCGGCAACAGGCTGAAGCAGCACAGGAGCCCGCGGAGAACAAAGGGGTGCCACAGGCCAACCTGCTGAGCTCCCAGGACAAGGAGGAAGAAACCAAAGAAGTTCTCAATGTGAAGAAATCAAGTGAGAGCAAAAAATAGTAAAATTACTTGAGAAAGAATACAAAGAAGTTCTTGAAAAATCAAAGACTAAGTCAGAACTCAACTCACCAGCCAACATTGCAACATCAATGCGTTTTAAAAAGAAAAAAAAAGGACAGAATGTTGGAACAGCGACGGCCAGGCCTAGAGTGGCCAGGCACAAGGCAGTGGCAGCCAGACCCGGAGCAGCAACGGCCAGGCCCCAGAACAACAGCAGCCAGAACCAGAGCATCAACAGCCAGCACTGGAGTAGCCAGACCTGGGGCAGTGGCAGCCAGGCCTGAGGCGGAGGCGGCCAAGCCCAGGATGGCCAGTCCAGGAACACCCAGACCCGGAGTGGCCGGGCCCGGAGAAGCCGGGCCCAGAGCAGCCGGGGTGGGAGCAGCCAGACCCAGAACAGCAGTAGCCAAGCCCAGAGCATCCAGGTCGGGAGTGGCCAGGCTCGGAGCGGCCGGGCCCGGGGCAGCCGGGTCAGGTGCGGCCAGGTCCGGAGCAGCGGCTGCCAGGCTGGGAGCGGCCAGGCCCGGGGGAGCAGGCGGGGCTGGTGCGGCCAGGCCCGGAGCAGCGGCTGCCAGGCTGGGAGCGGCCAGGCCCGGGGGAGCAGGCGGGGCTGGTGCGGCCAGGCCCGGAGCAGCGGCTGCCAGGCTGGGAGCGGCCGGGCCCGGGGGAGCAGGCGGGTCGGGTGCGGCCAGGCCCGGAGCAGCGGCTGCCAGGCTGGGAGCGGCCGGGCCCGGGGGAGCAGGCGGGTCGGGTGCGGCCAGGCCCGGAGCAGCGGCTGCCAGGCTGGGAGCGGCCGGGCCCGGGGGAGCAGGCGGGTCGGGTGCGGCCAGGCCCGGAGCAGCGGCTGCCAGGCTGGGAGCGGCCGGGCCCGGGGGAGCAGGCGGGGCTGGTGCGGCCAGGCCCGGAGCAGCGGCTGCCAGGCTGGGAGCGGCCAGGCCCGGAGCAGCAGCAGCCAAGTCCAGAGCAACTAGGTCGGGAGCGGCAGTGACCAGACCCGGAGCAGCTGGTTGTGGAATGAACCAGAGCAACAGAGGCCAGGCCCTGAGCAGCCAGGCCCAGAACAGCTCGCTCCTTGCCTGCCCCTGCCCCACAGCTGCTTCTCAGACATGGCTGGAAACTTTCGTGGGAACTTGAGGGTCTGCTGAATCAAGTGATGAAGGTTTAGATCTGGATGTGTTGAGTTAGTTTAGGACTGGGGTGTTGATCTGTTCTGTAAGTGCCTTGGGTGGGGCTTGGATGAGGCTGGTGGACCTATTGGGAAATGTCTTTTGTGTGAAGTGTATCATTGGGCATGTGGAGGTATTATTGATATGAGAAAATGCTAATTAACTGATTTACTATCTGAAAAGGGATTTACTATTGGGGAAATTGAGGGAAGAAGAGACTGAACATAAACTGCACCTATGCATGAGGACAATGGGGGATGTGGAGGGGGCAGAGGGTGGGGTGGGAACCTGGTGGAGGGGGGAAGAAATGAGGAACCTTTGTAATAATATGAACAATAAAGATTGAGTTAAAAAAAAAATTTTTTTTTGAGTAATTTTAGATTTAGCAAAAGGTGGTAAAGATAGTACAGTTATATATTAATCACCCAACTTCCTCTAATTTAACTTGGTACTTTTGTCAAAACTAAGATTAACATCAGTACATTAATATGAACTAAACTTCAGATTTTATTCACATCTCAACCATTTTCCCACTAATGCCCATTTCCTGTTTCAGGATCCAATCCTGGACACAACATTGCATTTAGTAAGTTTTTTCTTCTTTCTTTTCTTTTGACTCGGTGCAGGAAAGTTTCCACAAAATGAGTCCAGGTGATTTTGAGATTATATTTGTTAAAGCTGAGGACAGTGAAACCATAAAGAGTTTAGGAGAAAGGAAGTATCAGGAGAGAGACTAGTGAGGCTGCTTTGGTTCTCTAGAAACCTTATAGGAAAGAAATGAGCCTAGGCAGGTTTCTTTGGTTCACTGGAAAGTCAGAGAAAAGGGGCCTTGGAGACAGAGACAGGTTCGGGGGGGTTATCTTGCGATGAGCTGCAGCTGCCCACTGCTCCCCGGGCTGTAGGTCTGGCAACCCTACCAGTTTAGGAGGTGCATACCTGAGAGGGAAGAAAGGCATGCTCCCTGGAGAGGTGCCTAGTAGGTTTTGTTTGTAATGCACTATATTATACCTACAAAGAGGATATTGAATAAAGTATAGATTTCATTTAAATATGGGCTGGTCCTGGCCAGGTAGCTCAGTTGGTTAGAGCGTCACTTCAATACACGGAGGTTATGGGTTCCATCCGACAGTCACGGCACATATAAGAATCAACCAATGGCCGAAACTGGTTTGGCTCAATGGATAGAGCATTGGCTTGGGGACTGAAGGGTCCCGGGTTCGATTTCGGTGAAGGGCATGTACCTTGGTTGCGGGCATATCCCTAGTAGGGGGTGTGCAGGAGGCAGCT